TATTTAAAACCAAAAGGGATTCAAATGGTAATGTGGAGAGGTATAAGGCACATCTAGTAGCCAAAGGCTTTACTCAAAAGGAAGGAATTGACTTTAAAGAAACTTTCTCTCCAGTTTCTATGAAAGATTCTTTTTGGACAATTATGGCGCTTGTTGCACATTTTGTAATTAAAATATTAACACATAATTATATTGTCGTTAATTATTTTTATTTTTTGTTTTCAGATATTTCCCGAGTAACAGTTTATTTCTTGTGGAATATAGGCGTGTGAAGATTGCGATTTACTTTTGTTTTTGTTATCCACAGAAGAATCATGAGGGAAATTTTTGTTCTGATTTACGTTATTTTGAATTGTGAACAACATTATGTATTTAAACATTGTGTATGTATTATGCATTTTTATGTAGTGGGATAATTTGGCTAATGTGTTGTAATGAATGAGTGCAAGAATATTTGTATTATGGATGAATTGTTATTTTTATATTATTATGTAATTATTGGTTTCTTTTTCAATTATTTTTCATTTAATACATGTAATTTTCATATTTTTAATAATTTTATTGCAGTTTTTTTTTTTTTTTTTTTTTTTTTTTTTTTTTTTTTTTGAGACGGCACCACATTGTCGTCGCAAATGATATTGGCAGAGTTGAGACAAAATCTTTTTGCGACGGTACTCTTTGCCGTCACAAATAATCTTTTAGCGACGGCGCATCGTGCTGTCTCAAATATTTTTTTTAGCGACGACATTATCCCGTCGCAATAAAAATTCTTTGGCGACGACATTTTTGCCGTCTCAAATAACACCTTTAACGAGGGCAACATAGTGTTGTCTCAAAAAATCTAAGATTTTTTCATATTAATGGCGACGGAAAAATGCCATCGCAAAAAGGCAACTTTGCCGTCGCAAAAAAAGAGGCGACGGCAACGTGCCGTCGCTAAAACCTTTTTGCGACCCCCTTTGTTGCGACCCTCGACTTGTCGTCGCTAAAAGTCATCTATTGTCGTAAAAAACCTTTTGAGACAGCATTTTGAGTATTTGCAACGGCATTTTATCGTCTCAAAAAGTCAAATTTTTTGTAGCGGTGTTAAGAAATTTCCATGTTCGGGGATATATTTCCGAACTTGAGAAAATGAAAACTTTTGCTAGCATTAACAATTTTGACCGTTCAATGTGTTATGAAATTTTCATGTTCGAACCTGCATTCCCGAACATTACTTATTTGTTCGGGAATGTTCGGGCTTGTATTTCTGAACTTGAAAAAATGAAAATTTCTGCAACCGTTAACAATTTTGACTGTTCAATATGTTAAGAAATTTTTATGTTCAGACCTGCATTCTCGAACATTACTTATTTTTTTGAGAATGCCTTTCCGAACAAATAAACAATGTTCAGGCCTGTGTTTCCAAATTTCGGTAATATGTTCAGGAGTTTAGTTCAAAAAAAAAATTGACAAACAAATTTTATTATTTTTGTCATTTTTTTCAAAAAACTAACCCTTATAAGGCCAATCTCCTCTGAGCTAAAAACAACATTAAAGGTATGAACCTCCTCTAAGCTTTTATTGTTATACTCCTCTCGTCCTCTAGAGTTGTGGTTATCAGAAAAAGTTCCACTCATTGTTATTGCCGGAGAAGTGTAGGTAATCAAATGGTTGCCACTGTTACCGCTAGAATATTGCCGCCAAAAAGTTTTCAAGGTTTTGAGGGTGGGTAGGTTTTGAAGGTGGGATTTGGGGAAGATGGATGGGTTGTGATGGAGGTGGGTGCTCTCATAAATCCTAATTCATAATGTAGTGGGTGTGTAGGTTTAATTGTGAGATGGGGTGTCCCAAAATTAATGATGTCTTTTTTAGCAATTTTTATTTGAGGTTATTATTGTAATAAAAAAAAGTTAAAAATTGGAGGGTCCAAAATAATTCATGGGGCGCTAATAGCACCACTCTAAAAAAAAGCTCAGATAAAAAATGATAGGAAAAATTACAAATAACTCCAGTGTTTGATGTTTGTAATATAATAAAGGGCAAACTTCATTTTATTTATGTGATTTGAGTTATATGCAGTTTGTTTCCTTAACGTTTAAAAATGATCATATAATTTCTATGTGGTTTGTGGATTGAAGTGCACCATTAAATCTTCCGTCCAATTTAATAATAAGTGTGAAATGTGTGGCAGATTAAGGGGATTATATGATCATTTTCAAATTTTAAGAGGGTAAATCGCACATGGAATAAGCACAGGGGTTAAAGTGAATTTTTCCTTCTAAACAAACGATGAAAATACAAGGATATTTTAGTCTTTTTTCTTAAATCGTCAACGGGCTTAACAATGCATTTCAGTCCACAAACCATAAGAGGATTATTTGGTCATTTCCAAATGTCAGAAGGTAAACCGCACATAGCCTAAACCACATGGGATAAAGTAAAGTTTCCTTTAAAATAAATTTATCTTCTTTTGTTGAGTTTAATCACTAAAATATCATTTTTTTTAGGTAGTGTTAATAAAAATAGGAAAAATTGGTCTAACATCCCTCACTCATACCGATATATCACACCCACCATCTCATTCTCTCTCCATGCCCTGCCTCCGATTCCAAACCTTGGCCCCTTGAAATCAATTCCTTTCTCGACAACTGAATCCCCAAAATGTCCAAAACCGGATCTAATTTCCCAATAACCCAATCAGACACCTGTGCAATCTGTTGCCTGACTAAGACCTGGGAGTTCACTCTAATTAAGGTAATTCTTGGTGGATCGATAAAGATATTGAGAGAGACACCAACCTCGGTGATAATGAGGTTCAAGGCTGGGAGTGTAGAGCCGGCTCATCACCACACTTTTGGGCATGATTTGGTGGTGCTGAAGGGTAGCAAAAGGGTGTGGATTTTGAGCAAGAAAGAGAATTACGATTTGGGTGTTGGTGATTACTTGTTCACACCGGCTGGAGATGTGCATTGGGTGAAGTATTTTGAGGATACTGAGTTTTTCATCAAGTGCGATGGGCATTAGGATCTTTTGATGGATGAGGATTTTGATGCTGTCAATGCTTCTATTCAGAAGGAGATTTAGTTGGTGGGTTGGTGTGAAAATGAAGGTATGGGTGAGCAAACGAAAGAAAATTGTGTTTCCTTTTTAATCAATTTTTTATGATTGAGTCAACATACAAAGAAAATGGTTAGTAAATTGGAGAGAAATTCTGGAATTTTCAAAGAATTTCTCCAGGTTCAACCCAGAGAAAATTCAAATTTCTCTGGGTTCGTTTTGACCAATTTTCTCTGGGTTCAAATTCAAATTCAAATTTCTCTGGGTTCATTTATAAACCAGTGAAAATTTAATTTCTCTGGATTCATTTTAACTAATTTTCTCTGGATCGTAAAGACACATTATTTTTTGAAATCCAGTGAAATTCCTGAATACATCTTCAAAAAACTAATCATCACATAAATTTATTCCAACAACTGTTAATAAGTTAAAACAAACCAAAAATCAAATCTGAACAAGACTAGAATTACCCACTACAATATTCATTATTGATCAAATGACCCACAAATTTATGAACTAAAAAGTTCTACAAAAATCTTGAGAAATTTTCTCTGGAGTTTTTGTGAATTTCTCTGGACTGAGAGAATTTCTCTGGGTTGAAGTGAGTCCAGAGAAATTCTGGTAAGATTTTCTCTGTGAAGTCGAATTTTTTCTGGTGTAGATTGAATTTCTCTGGTTTGTACAAGAGAAATTCTCTGGTTTGGAAATCTATAGTTTGTTTATGTATGTTTCTTGGTTTCAATGCTCACCAACCATTTGGTTTTGAGTAAGTTTTAAGCTCATCATGAGATTACAGATGTTTGGGGTTTGAAAGATTCTGACTTGTTTGCAATATATGTTAAAAGAGTTTGAATTCAGTGAAATTTCAATTTTCTCTGCCCTGTTGGGAATTTTCTATGTGATATGTCTAGAGAAATTCGGAATTTTCTCTGTGATATGTCCAAAGAAATTCAGAATTTTCTCTGTGATGTATCCAGAGGAATTCTTTGGATTGAATTTTCTCTTAATCGAATTTCTTTGGATCGATGTTGAGGGAACTTAGACATTATGAAAATATTGAGTGTCCTTTATGCTATAAAATCTTAATTTCAGGGACCTTAAAAAAAATCCCCATAAAAATATGCAAATAGTTTAATTTTATTAAAGCATATAAGTCAAAATCAATTGATTATAAGTGGATAGACTCTTACATTATATTGAAAACAAATTAAAAGACTTTGGTTTAAATTAACAAAATTAAAAATTAAGAGTTTATTTTTTAAAAAAAATCAAACCTTGAGTTTTTATTTTTGTAATTTTTCCAAAATGATATTCTCATCTTTTTTTTTATTTTTTATATTAAGATATATATTTATCCTTTGTTTATTTCATTGTCTATCTATAGTTTTGATCGTTTTAATTTTATTAAAAATAAGATCAGTATAATTATGTCAAAATTATTAGGTTAATTATATCCCCATAAAAATATGCAAATAGTTTAATTTTATTAAAGCTTATAAGTCAAAATCAATTGATTATAAGTGGATAGACTCTTACATTATATTGAAAACAAATTAAAAGATTTTGGTTTAAATTAACAAAATTAAAAATTAAGAGTTTATTTTTTTAAAAAAATCAAACCTTGAGTTTTTATTTTTGTAATTTTTCCAAAATGATATTCTCATCTTTTTTTTTATTTTTTATATTAAGATATATATTTATCCTTTGTTTATTTCATTGTCTATCTATAGTTTTGATCGTTTTAATTTTATTAAAAATAAGATCAGTATAATTATGTCAAAATTATTAGGTTAATTATATTTTTCTTCAATTTTAAAAAAGATGAATGTAATATACCAAATATATGTGTATTGACTTAATTTGTTAGTGCACAATATGACAGTCCAAAAATGCCTCAATCCTCATACAGTAAAGTATGTGCTTATTTTTTTATTTTATTTTATTTTATTTTTATTTTTTTTTAGCATTGGATTATTGAAATGGTACAAGATTTGAATACAAATCAACAAATAGTCAAACTAGAGAGGATAGTAATGTATCCATCTCTGGAACATCTCATAACATTGCCTCCGCTTGTATTCTTGGGGCGGGTGTCCTGCTCCCTACATTGTACAAATAAAATAATAATAATAATAATTTAGTGTACAATACTTTTAGATTAGTGTATTTTTTAATTTTTTATAAAAAAATATAAAATGTGAGTTGGAATTAAAGTGATTTAACCAAAATAAGTAGTGATATAACTCAAATAAAACAAGCGCATGCCAAACAAATCCTAAATTGAAATCTATAAAAATAAATAAATAAGTAAATTTGTACCTTACTAATACTGTAGCATACGTCAGGCGGTGTCCATGTTCTGAATACTTAGGGCTGGTTTGGGATGTCCTAAAAAAGTGCACTTTTTGTCTTTTTGGACTAAAGAAGACAAAAAAAAATATAGAGGTTTGGGTTAACTTTTTGACTTTTTATGGAAAAATGTGTATTAAAAAATTGTATAAAAAAGTGTGTAAGAGATGATAAGAGAGGAGTGGGCCCCAGCCGTACAACCGGCTGTGTAATTTGAGTTGGAAATTATTGGCTAATTTTTGTACAAAGCATTGGACGGTTTTGTTTGACTCGTGGGGGTCATCACGGGTCCCATTTTAATAATTTGAACCGTTAAATGTGTGTAACTTGTCGAACACTATGTACCTATAAAAAATCACGTTAATCGGATATCGATAGCTATCTGATCAGATTTATTTATTTTTCAATCATTAATTATAACACTATCCATTTGTTGTACATAACTGATTTGATCATATAGTTATCGATATCCGATCAATGTGATTTTTTTTTAGACATATAGTACTCGACGATTTCTACACATTGAACGGTTCAGATTATCAAAACGGGACCCGTGGTGGCCCCCATGGGACAAACAACGGTGTGTGTAAAAATCACACCCAATCATTTCTTTTTTCTCACTTACGCACACAGTAGCCGCACTTTATTGAATTCGGTGTGTACTTTTTGGAAACAAAATTGATTTTTTTTTTTTTTAGAATAGTGATATCTTTTTAGATTTTGGAGTAACTTTTTGACTTTTTAACTTATATAGGATAAGCCAAACCAGCCCTTCATTGTGTACCTATATAAAAATAAATATAGTAATTTTAATTATTAGAATTTTTTTAATTTTGTTAATTAAATTCATTATTTAAAAATAGACACAGAGATTTGAAAAGTTTATGAACTCACCCTGCAACTTCACCATCAACTAACCATGGCCGTCAGTCATTAACAATAGTTAAATTTAACAGTTTTATCGAATCTTATGTTCCCGTATTTGGTACAATTAAATCATGATCACCGCTGCAAAAATAATTTATATTGTTTAGCAAATTGCAAAAAAGTATAATAAAGTTTAAGTTTATATCAAAACCTACTTGTATACTAGAACTTGTAGGCCATATGAAGTGAGATTGTGATGAAGATCAAGTACACTAGGCACATTCATTGCATAATCTAAGTTCTTGTCACATCTCTTCCAATGTTTAACTCTTCCCTGATAATTACCACCATTTATTTACATATATATAAATAAAAATAAAAATAAAAATAATGAAATTAATTACATTATTAACTCAACATTATAAAACCTTGTTCTTTTTCTTTTTTTTTTTTTCCAGATAGATAAAACCTTGTTCTTTAAATTTGAAAATCACACATACCTTTCTGACATAAAGGGCTTGTTGGACACTGTCATCATTTGCCCATACATAGGCCCCGTTTGGTGTAACTATTAAAACAGCTTATAGATTATAGCTTAACAGATTATAGATTATGACTTTAATCAGAAGTTATTAATCTGTTTGGTGTAGCTGTTGGATTATAGATTTAAGTTGCTGAGTAGTGTTTGTTAAATAAGTTGTGAAATAGCTTTTTCAATTAATTTTTATTTTTTTTTGGTCTACATTTCTCATAAAAAATAATAATAATAATCTATAATCCATTTGAGTCTTTTTCTATTTTAAAAAAAATAAAAAATAAAAAAAATTAAGAGTATAACCATAAATTAACATGTCCACAGCAGAAGCTGATAATCAGAAGCAAGGGGTGAACAGCTTCTCAGAATTAACTTTTTTGGGTTAAAATAAGCTGTTAGAATCAGAAGCTGTTTGAAATAAGTTTAACCAAACAGTCCAAAATAACTTTTTCAAAGCTAAAAGCCATAAGTTGGCTCTGAAAAGCTGAAACAAACACCCCAATAAGCCAATGCATAATTGAAGTTCTGCACATGTATAACTCAATCATATTATTATTCTGTCTAAGAATTTTTATTAATTTTTTTTAATAGTTAAATGTTCAGTTTGAGGTTAGTTTCATGATATTCATAAATGAATTTGGTTTTTCTTAAATTTGTAATCTCAGCATGAGAGAATGTTTGGGCTTGATAAACCTATTTTGAAACTGATTTCGGTAATCCAAACCGTTCACTTTGTAGGGCTCATTAAGTAGAATATTCTTGTAAAAAATCAAGATGATTGGATATTGGTAGTTATATGTTTGGATTAAATTTGTATTACAAAAAATGAATGATTATTCTTGAAATTACATTTGTCGTTCATTTTTGTAAAACAAATATGATTAAAACATATAGCTACTGATATCCAATTATCTTGATTTTTTACATGAATATTCTACTCAACAAGTCTTAAAAATTGAACTGTTCGGATCACTTAAATCAGTCCCAAAATAGGCCTACCAAGTTTAGACGCTCTCTCAAGTTAAGATAACTTTAAAAAAGCTAAACCCTTTTATAAATTATGTCTTATCGCTTAAAAAAGAAAAAGAAAAAAATTAATGCATGTAGAGTGAGAATTACATGACACCACATTTCGGGAATTTTTGGAGGTGAGAAAATGAAATTTTCCTGCTCCTCTTCGACAAGATCGTCTGTCCGATTCACCATTTTGTTCTGGTGATGCCCAAGTACACTTAGGTTCCAGGATGCAATTTTTGTTTATTTCATGAATCAACTGCAAATTCAAATAATCTCATCCTTATAATAATAGGTTTAATATTTTTTATAAGACTATTATTTGCTTGAAATAAAACTTAAATATCCAATTGCACTCACCTTTGAGACCTTTTGAAGATTTTCAAAGCATTCTGCTCGGTTCGGATCTACCTCATAATAATTACCATTACAATTTGTTTTGGTTTCCTGTAAAAGAAAAAAAAATTAAAAATCATAATTTACAATGTAAAAGCATAATTTTTTTAAAAAAACCTATAACCAATAGTAATTAATTTTTTGTAATTAATATTTACCGAAGGCACAGGTGATTCACCATATAAAGTTCGTCAGATATAAGAGCCATCCGATGAGAATACGTTATCTTTGAATTTTCATTAATAATTACATCTGTTCGCGGATAACCAACAATGCATCCCTAAAATATCATTTTAAACAACACTGCATTCAAGAGTCATTTTCATTTCACAAATCTATAATGCACCACTTTATAATAGGAATAACCAAGTTTAATTATCGAGTCACTAATCAAGTTTTTTTTACATCATTAGGTTACCTACTTTGAGATTCAACCGCGGCTTGTCCCCAGCTTCATTTCCTTTAAGAGAGAGAGAGAGAGAAAAGATTAATTATGATAATCAATCAAAACATGTTCTAATAATCAAAGATGTGATCTTTATTGCATGAAGAGTGTATCATTAAGCCAAAATAGTTACAAATTCTCATAATTAGCATGAGTTACCGTCTAATATATGTTAAACAACTATTGGAGCAGTTATGCCTGAATATGAATCAGCCCCGATGAACAATTGGTTTTTTAGATATTCCGGGTGTTCGTTGATCCACTACATTGCCATTTCAATTCCGAACAAAGACTAAGCACAATTGGTTTTTAAAAGAAAAAAATCCAAAAAGAAAAGAAAAGAGTTTATATATTGAAACAATAGTTTGGTAGAGAGAGAGAGAGAGAGAATCAATTGTATTGATCTATTCTGTGTGTTGATTTACAATGGGAAGATTACTCTCATTTGTAGAAGGAAGAGTGTACAAAGGGTCAAAAGGACTGAAAGAAGAAAGCACAAAAGTGTGCACTAAGGGAACAATATAATTAAAGCATTCTACAGCTAATTATGAAACAATACTTTACAGCTAATTACAGCTACACAAACATCCCCCCGCAAACTCAAGGGGGGTAAGCATCAACCAACTTGAGTTTGGAAACAAGATCATGGATGCAACCAGGAGGATGAGCCTTGGTGAAAATATCAACAAGTTGATCGGCAGAAGCAATAGGGAGAAGAATAACAGTGCCACGTATAACATGCTGTCGAATGAAATGACAATCAATCTTAATATGCTTTGGGCGATCATAGAAAACATCATTGTGAGCAATCTGAATGGCACTTTGATTGTCACAATAGAGAGAGGTTGCACCAGAAGAAGAAACGCCCATATCAGCAAGGAGCCACCGAAGCCGGAGAAGTTCCTGAGTAGTATTAGCAAGAGTTCGGTATTCAGCTTCGGTACTAGAATGGGTAGTGAGGGATTGTTTCTTGTTGCGCCAAGTAAGAAGAGAATACCCTAAGAAGAAACAGAAACCTGTGGTGGAGCGTCAATCCATAGGATCCCCAGCCCAATCAGCATCAGAAAAGGCACATAGTTCAAGAGAGGAGGAAGCAGAGTAGTGAAGGCCATGGAACAGAGTGCCTTTGAGGTAGCGAAGGATGCGGAGTAGAGCAGTGTAATAGGGAGTGCAAGGAGCCGACATGTACTGACTAACAAGATGAACAGCATAGGCAATGTCAGGACGAGTCACAGTGAGATAGACAAGACTACTGACTAGCTGGCGATAAGAGTAGCATCAGAGAGGAGATCCCCATTGAAAGGAGTGAGATGAATCTGAGGATCAACTGGAGTAGAGGTAGTTTTGCAATCTGTAAGACCAGCACGGGCCAGAAGATTGGATGCATATTTGGCCTGGGACAAATAGTAACCAGTAAAATCATGGGAGATTTCAAGGCCTAAGAAGTAATTAAGAGTACCAAGGTCCTTCATCTCAAACTGATGATGGAGAAAATGTTTGAGGCAAAAAATACCAGCTAAATCATTACCAGTGATAATCATATCATCCACATAAAGAAGAAAAAGAGTGGTGCCATGAGTAGTGGTCCAAACAAATAAAGCAGAGTCATAGGAGCTAGAGGTGAACCCGGAGTCATGAATAGTGGAACTGAACTTAGCAAACCAAGCTCGGGGGGCTTGCTTGAGACCATAGAGGCACGTTGTAGTTTGCATACCTTATAAGTTGGATAAGTAGACCCAGGGAGAGGTTGCATGTAGACTTTCTCAAGAAGATTACCATCAAGGAAAGCATTTTTGAAATCCATCTGAAAGAGCTCCCAGTAGCGAGCAGCAGTAACAGTAAGTAAACTGCGAATAGAGGTAAACCGAGCAATAGGGGAGAAGGTCTCCTCATAATCAATGCCATATTCCTGGTTGAAACCCTTTGCAACAAGACGAGCTTTGTAGCACTCAATAGAACCATCAAAATGAGTCTTGATTTTGTAGATCCATGTGCAGCCAATCGCAGTCTTGCCAAGAAGAAGATCAACAACATCCCAAGTATGAGTTTTGTCCAAAGCCTGGAGTTCATTAGTCATACCTTGATACCAAAGAGGATTAGTACAAACCTCACGATAGGAGGTAGGTTCATAAGTAGAGAAGGCAGCAGACCCAACAATATAATCATGAAGGTGAATAGGGGGTTGAGTTACTCAGTGTGGCCAACCCGTGGGAAGATCGGTAGGATGAAGGACTGGCGGAGAAGGAGGAGACGAACTAGAAGGCTCAATGAGAGGGGGACCATCAGGGAGAGCAGTCTGGACGGGATTAGGGATCAGCAAGGGCGTCTCGATGAAGAAGGAACCTGTATCAAAGTCATTAGAGAAGAGATCTATGAAAGGATCAGTAAATATGACGGTAGTGGAAAGTGCGGGTAAGTGGAAGGAGGATAGGGAGGAAAACATTTTGTGCTCCCAGAAAACTACATGGCGGGAGATATGAAGACGCTTAGAGATAGGATCCCAACAGCGAAAGCCTTTATGTTCAATTCCATACCCAAGAAAGCATCAAAGACGAGAACGAGGTTCAAGCTTGGTGTGTTCATGGGATTGAAGCAGAACAAAGCAGGCAGAGCCAAAAACCCGAAGATTGGTGTATGGAAGGGGAGTGCCATGTAGACGTTCAAAGGGAGTTTGATTATGGATGACAGTGGTAGGAACACAATTGATAATGTACATAGCAGTAAGGGCAGCTTCCCCCCAAAAGTTTTCAGGACAGGAAGAAGAGAGAAGGAGAGCACGAGTAGTGTCAAGAATATGCCGATGTTTCCGTTCAGCACATCCATTTTGTTGGGACGTGACAGCACAGGAACGATGAGGTTGAGTACCATGGCTCTAAAGAAAGAAAAGGAAATCGGTATCCCGATATTCCATAGCATTGTCAGAGCAAAAAATTTTAATGGTCTTTGAAAATCAGGTGTGGACTATTGTAACAAAGCTATAGTAAAGGTGTTTAAATTCAGACCGAGTTTTTATAAGAAAAAGCCAAGTAAACCGTAAATAATCATCAATAAAAACAACAAAATAACGAGATCCCCCCATGGTAGTAGTAGGGGATGAGCCCCAAATATCCGAATGTATGAGATCAAAAGGTGCATGGGAAACAAAAGTACTTTTGTTGAATGGTAAAGCAGATTGTTTTGCAAGTTGATAGGTGTTACGCAAAAGACAACATAAGAGGGGGGTGAATTAGGTTTTTACAATTAAAAATTAATAATACCCTAATAAAAATTATGACTAGCACAATAGATAAATATAGTTAATAAATAAAAATAATTAAAACAAGTGTTCTAGCAACTATGTAGTTAATGATTTTAGCATAGTGAAAAGAGATAAGGAGATAAGGAAGAGAGAGGCAAATAAATTCACAGTGGTTCGGCTTCAACTTGGCCTACGTCCATTCCTCAAGTTTCACTTGAGATTTTTCACTATGCTCTAACTTCACGGGGGTGCTAGTAACCTCTTTACCAATGAAGCAATCCTCCACGGATTTTACACAGACTTTTTAAGTCAAGAACACTAAGTGTACTACACTCTTACAAGGTTGAAAAGAAGGTATTTTTGCTTTCACAGAAAGCTACAAGAATAATCTCTCAAAGATAGATATAAAAATAAAGTTCTGATTTTTCTGTAAACCTCACACAGGAAAGATAGGCTTAAAGCTATACGTCTCAGTGTATAATTTCTGAAAGAGGATATAAACAAAAATGAAGAATACTTCTCAGAGAATAAATGTGAGTGATTATAGATCAAAGAATATTTTCTAGTTTTTTTTTGTAACTAGTTTACATTAGAGGCTTTGGTATATATAATGAAACTTATAGTCGTTTATAGTCGTTGTATTCATTTGAATATCTTCTACTCCATCATTACTAATTTGAATATCTTCTACTTGAACCTTTTGGCCTACTATTGTGCTGGGTTGTTTGAACCTTTGTTTTGGGTTATTTGAATCTCTGATTTTGGGCTGTTTGAACCTCTATTTTTGGACTGTTTGAACACCTCTGTTTTTGGACTGTTTGAACTCCTGATTTAAGAAAATATTAAATACATTCTAACAACATTTAGGATAAAAGTTTAGGTGAGAAATAATGGGGCAAAATAAATTTTGATTCTATTTTTTTCTTTCAAATAAATTAAAACATAATTAAATAAATCATCAAAATAAATGTTAATTCTATTTTTCTCTTTCAAATAAATCATCAAAATAAATTTTGATTATATTTTTCTCTTCCAAATAAAATAAAACATAATTAAATAAATCATCAAAATAAATAAGTCTAACAATAGGGTGTACAATCAAAAGTATTTGGAAGTACATGACCCAACTGACCACTAGAAACCAAAGACTTTAAGCGATTAACAAAAATATGCCCTAAGCGACAATGCCAAAGATGAAAAGAAGACAAAGAGGAAGTAGAGGCAGGAGCAGCGATCTGTGGAGAGTCAGGAACATGAAGGTGACGGAGTTCATAGAGACGTCCATGCTTACGGCCGATCCCAATAGTCTGTCCCTATCTGAGGGTTCTATACCAAACAACCATTAGCAGAAAATGTGATGATTAGACCAAGCTCACATAATTGACCAATAAAGATAAGGTTTAAGGTGATAGTAGGGACAAGATAAACTTGAGGTAAAGATAAATGAGAGGTGGACACAGTACCAACATGACTGACAGACATGAGAGAACCATCAGCAGTATGAATGGAGGGAATATGAGTAGAGGGAGAGGAATAAGAGAATATAGTAAAGCTGGAAGTCATATGATTACAACAGGCGGAGTCAAAATACCAAGAAGAGTTACCTGGAGTCATAGATAAAGCAGCAGGAGGAGGTGTAGCAGAGGTGTAGAGAATCTGTTTGAACATGGCCTCAACATCAGTTTGAGAAAAAACAGGGGCAGACAGAGCAGGAGACTAAGAGAAATCCTCAGAGGCAGCAGCAGCAGTGCGATTAAACTGACGATGTGAGCTTTCCCTAGAAGAGCCACCGCGAGAGGAAGAAGATGCCCGAGAGGGATTACGAAAACAATCCTGCTGCAGATGACCAAGACCAAGTTTGTTGCAATATCGGCAGGATCGGACAGGGCAATGAACCAAAAGATGAGTAGAAGGAAGGCCCCGATTCTAACAATAGATGCAGGCAGTGGACTGCTGGGTCTGTAAGGGCCGTGACTGAGAAGTGGCAAGAACAGAGTCCACATGATGAGTTTAGAGAGTACGAAGACGAGTCTCCTCAGATAACAACTCAGAAATAGTCTGTTCAAGAGTGGGCAACGGAAGGCGATGAAGAAGAGAGGCACACACGAGCTCAAAATAAGGAGTGAGAGCCATGAGAAATTGAACCAATCGCTATTGATTACGATAGGTAGTGAATAAAGCAGCATCTTCAAGGTGAGGCCATGCGGGTTCGGAGAGAGCAAGCTGGTCCCAGACAGAATACATTTGAGAAAGAAAATCATTAATAGACTGACTGGATTCTTGGCGCATGCGGTAAAGTTGACTTTGAAGTTGATACTGATGGGCAAGACCGGTAGTTTGGTATCGCTCTTTCAAAAAATCCCAAATGCCTTTGGCAGGAGTGGTAATAGAGTCAAGCTAAAAGCGACCAAACTGAAGACTAATAGAGGGAACAGTGGTATTTCGAAGCCAAGTAATGATTTGGTAGTTCTTACTGTCCCAATCTTCAAGTTGGTCTTCATAGGTAGCAGCAGTTTCGTTGACTTCTTTCACCGGTTGGGTCACATCCCCGGTGATAATGCGCCAGAGCTTCTTACCTTTGAGGAAGGAAGACATGGCTTGGGCCCACAGAACATAGTTGGAACCATTAAGAAGAAAAGAAATCGGATGGGAGGCATCATGGCGATCCATAACAATAGTGGAGTAGGGGTAAATAAAAAGGGAACAGACCTGTAGGAGCAAAATTAGGTAAAATAAAGTGTACCAGTGAGTCTAGAAGGTCGAAAATAGCTGGGAAATGAGGTGCTGTCAAGAGATGACGTCAGTAGAGGGAGAATGATGTCAGTGGCGCACAATGGTGGTTGAAGGGCAGCACACAATAGTAGGAAGGGCGCGCGGCGCACTGTAGCAGAATGGCGCACACGGGTGCAAGATAGCGGATCGGCACACGCTAGGCGCACAGCAGCAGGCGCGGCGCACGGAAGCTCAGGGCTGACATCAGATGCTAACGTGAGCAAGCAGTAGAGGAGTGCATAAGGGGACATGTGCGAGTGGAGGCGGAAGCTGAGACGCACCGAACACAAAGGTGGCGTGTGACGGCGCATGATGACGATTCTGGTGACGAGGGTGGTGTCGTTGGAATCGTGAGGTGATTCCGAGCAAGTTTGTCTAGTGCCACTGTGTACGGGACTAAGCACCAAAAACAGAAGATCCCAGAAGTGTAGAACTTCGCTCTGATACCATGAAACAATAGTTTGGTAGAGAGAGAAAGAATCAAATGTATTGATGAAACAATAGTTTGGTAGAGAGAGAGAGAGAAAGAATCAAATGTATTGATCTATTCTGTGTATTGATTTATAATGGGAAGATTACTCTCCTTTATAGATGGGAGAGTGTGCAAAGGGTCAAAACGACCGAAAGAAGAAAGCACAAAAGTGTGCACTAAGGGAACAGTATAATTAAAGCACTTTACAGCTAATTATGAAACTGTACGAGCACGAAATAATGTTCTCGTATAATCCTGTAGATCAAGTTTGCACTCCTCCAAATGTCGTCGCTTTATTCTCTGAAAACACAAACGTGAGCTAGCCGGCGGGTGTGTGTCGGATACCTCTCCGATGCCTAAGTTAGCAAAATAGACAAATAGACAAAAGCTCTGTGTATTCCGAAAATCAAAGTTGTGTTACCTCTACATAGGTTAGGTTGTGAGCTTTTATAGTTTTTGCCTGGCACAATCCTAGTAGGACTCTTATTCCTCTATGTAGAGTCCTCCTAGGAATCACACTCCTGAAAGATAATGTTTATCTCTCAACACCCCCTCACTGTTTAAACCAAGTGAGATGGTTTTACCTTGGTTGGATGACAGTATGACCGAGCTAACACTAGCCCTTTGTCATACTTAATCCAGCGCCTTCACATGCAACACATAGCTCGGCTCTCTGTTCACTTGTACCTCGGTTTTGTCTGTTGAGACCGAGCTAGCTATAGTAAGTCTTGACCGAGCTAACAAGAGCAAGGTCCACCATAAGAAGCCCAAATACCTCGGCTCCGAATACTATGACCGAGCTAATTATCACCACTCCGACCGTAGTAACTGTAACCATATTTTGGCCGAGCTAACACTAAGGTCCACTTGCTAAGCCCTTTTTATCACGGCCCATCAAACGGCCTATTACTACGCCTGGGCCTAGCTCGGCCCTAATGCACATAAAAACTCCCTCTCAGAAACAATACTTTACAGCTAATTACAGCTACACTAACATATATAATGATTTCCTCATTGTTTTTCTCAATTTGTATGAAATTAATCTTGACTGACCTTTATAAGGAACTCTTAGGTCTGTAATGCTAATTTTGTGTCCGAGGAAGGGCATGCACTTGAGTTTGTAGGGTAAGAGAAAACAGTGCCCACCGATGCATCAACAAATAAAATGTTGGCAGTCTAATAAGAAAATTATTTCAATTTGTGTTAACAAATCAGAGATTAAAAATATAAATAAAATAAATAAATTAGAAATTTTATATTGATGTACCTGTGTCCATGAGTATGGATAGTATTCCAATGGTGGTGTACCGCCATCGTATTCTGTAGTATTGAAAGCCAATGGACCTACATTGTAAAAATTGCAATTAACTTAACTTACTCCATTTTAATTAAAATTGCAAAAGCTTCACAAAGCTGAAGATACAAGTTTGATTCTGTAATGGATCAATTTGTTTTGATTTTTATTTAAAAAATAATAAGTTAAGTCAACTAAATGCAAAATTGTTGTAATAGTAAGAAATTCTAGTAACAATTATTTATTTTGAAAAAATTATGCACATTCTTTAAATACGGATGGTGAAAATAGCTAGTAAAAATAATTTGTGCGACAATCTTGCTCACGGGTGTTGTCTTTAATATTAGTCCAGCAAAATGTTGGTTTCACTTGTAAATGTGATAAACCTAGCTACACTAACAAAATGTTGGCTTCCCTTGGTCCCAGTTTCTTCGTCACGAGTTTTTCTAGTTTGAAATTTTTTAAATTATACTAACTCTTCATGGTAGAAAGGGTTTAAGCTTTTTGTCCAACCAAAAAATTGAAACCTTTCCCTTTTAAAAAATTAACTACCATTCAAACTCTCTCTCTCTCACTTGCACAAACCTTTCCGTTCTAATGATTTGTTTTGATTTTACGCGAGAGGTCAACTAACCCCATTAGCTAGTCCCCCCCCCCCAAAAAAAAAAAACCTACAAATAAAAAATATTTCATTTTTTTTTAAAAAATATTAATCATTGATAATCGTTTGCTTGTACTTGTTTTGCACCCTTCTCAACCGTCTCCCGCACAAATTTTATAATTTAAAGGCAAAATCCACTGCTACAGTACTAGATTTGTTTGAATTATGTAGAGAACATATTACAATAGTTTAGGATTTTTTTGATTCAATTATGATTTTTTTGGTTGAATTAATCTCGGGTTTATTACCCATTAGTCATATTTTTGTTCAATAATGAGTTCATTATTATTTATTTTTTTTTGGACAAAATAATAACATATTTTTATATATGATTTGAGAATTAGTTTTCTAGTTTTAGCATGGCTCTCTATCAACAAAAATTTCTACAACTGGCGTTGATTTTTTTATCTCATACTTTATATAGTATGATATTATCCCAACTTGAGTCGAAGAATTTGATGCGGTAAAAATTTTTACGTAAGGGAATAAATAATGAAATGATGATAAATTTTAAATAATGGCAACATATAAAAAATTAGACAGAAAACTGGGACAGAGGATCGAAAAGAGAGCATACCAATTTCATGAAAAAGTCCATTGAGAGTAGAGCAACCAGGACCTCCATTGTACCAAAGCAAAAGAGGATCCTCTTTTGGATTCCCTTCTGATTTTATAAAATAGTAAAACAACTGGGATTCAGCTACACCAATGTACCTGAAAAACCAACACCACCATCTCTGTAATGTCATCGCCAATCACCGACCATTGAGAGAGAGAGAGAGAGAGAGAGAGAGTTACCCAGTTTCAAGACTGAATGGAAAATAGCCAGGTAAGGCCTTAACAATTTGACTGCAAAAAACAACACTTGGGGAGAAGAAGAGCAATATTATTAGGAGGAGAAAATTAAAATTCGAATTACACATCCAATTAATGTGCTTTCTACAACTGATGATGAGTGACATGGTTAGATAGGATATATGCTTCATAGCTTTGGTTGGTGCCATATGCAGTATTGTTAGAAAAATTACAGTACCAAAATATCTGGAAAATATAATTTAAAATTATACAAACGATTTTTGGGCAAAATCAAAAACTAAAATAAATCGACATAATAACGTGATAAAACTTACAGTACGTAAACAGATAAAACCTGATCGAGTCGAGTGTATGACACCCTTTTCTTAAGACAGATTCATCCTCCCACTAGTGCTTAGGATTCAATGGACGTCTATCTTCCAGGATACAACAATCAATGTCTTACACTAGCAGCACTACTATTGCAAGCCTAGCGAACTTCGCTGTGCATGTACTCTCTTAATAGGAAAATTAGACTCAGGAAATATGAAGAATAAATGCAAAGTGAAGAAGAATGACAATTCACTATCCAAATTGAAGTAAGGGAGGTAAAATATATAGACTTTTATGTGACTTTTCAGAAAGGTTGTGACCCTTCAAAAGGACACACCTTCCATCTCAAGAGACACAACCAATGGAGTAAATTTAAATTCAAATTTTCCAACAAGTATATCATATGCTGTGTATATGTATTTCCAAACTCGCCATTGCTCAATTGGTTGGTACTTCATGCTATTAAAAATTGGTATTTATATGTTTACCAAAAAAAATAAAAGTTGGCATTTACTATTTTAGTATATATATATATATATTTTCTGTTTTTTTTTTTTTTGGTAAAAGACCTGAAAAGTTGGTTGAAAAAGGAAAGACATTGGAAATCTAGTTACAATAGAGTCTAGGTTGGATCACAGAGAGTGAATGGTTGATAAATATTTTTGGGTAAATTGCTATCTCCTATGAAATTTAGAAAATATAGTGGGGTTCACAAGTTTGACATAATTGCATCAAGCTTTCTTAAAGTTTTAATTTACATCATTAATAATCCGTTAATCATATGAATGAAAAAAATAACAATATTTTCATCTTTTTTACAACAAAAAATATATTTTATCTTATTTATTTTTATATTATCTGCATTAGCTCAGATCCTTTTAACTTTATTAAAAGAGAAGTCAGTAAATAATGCCAAAACTATAAAACTTGTTATATTTTTCTTAAGATGTCATTAGATGACAAATTTTTAAATATTTTTTTTTAAATTCTTGTACCATTGTTCTTTTTAACTATTTCACATCATAGTAGAGTATACTTTTTTAATTTTTAATTTTTATTTTTTTTAATACTACTTAAACATGGTAGTAGTGAGATTCACATTAATAAATAAATGTGAAATTGATGCTTTCTGTCTAATTTCAATAACATTTGGGTAAAAAAACCATTTATTTATAACATTTTGCATATTTTTATTTAAAAATAAATTTATATTAAAGGGAAAATGGAGAAATTAGTATCTAACAATTACACCAGGTTTTCACTGATCATAATTAATATTTTTATATTTCCCCTTAAGTCTAATAACAATTTCTCATTAGCTTTTTTATTGTTATTATTGAATAAATTTCTCGTCAAATTAATAGTGCATGTCCATTCCCACAGGTGAGAAGGTATTGGGTGGTCTTGGAGCATTCGTTCATATGATTCAAGGTTAAGACATTTGTCTATTTGTCTCCTCAAAAGAGAAACCAAAGTGGTAAGGTCTACTGTTTTAACCAATCAAGTATAATTTAGAGCACTACATGGCTTTGCCCCTGGAGCAAAGTATAATTTTTCTCCATAAGGACAGTAATTACTTTTCCGAAGCAACTAAAATAACGATCATACTATATGTACCAATTAATGTACTAATTAGTGTACCAACATAATTATGACATTGTTATTTTAAAAGTATGACTTCACCTATTATACAAATTATATAAAATTATGTCATATCATTCGTTAGTACCCTAATTAATATGTCAATTGATACATATAGTATTATTTAAAAAAAACAAGGACAATAATTCTTTGACAAATAAAGTGATAAGTCATTTTCTTAGTTATATATAAATAAAAAAAAAAGGGTCTTATTTATGACAGTTTAAAATGTTGTCAATAAAAATTACAAAATATTAAAATATTTATAATTTTGACACTAATAATAATTCTTACAATTATTTTTAATACTTCTCATGAAAAAAAGTTTGAAAAATAGGGTTCATTTGGGATGTGGATTGGTTTTCTGATTTTTTAGCTATTTTAATCTAACGTTAAAAAGTCTTGTTTAGAATAGACATTTTGACTTTTTTGATTTTTGTGAGAGAAAAAAAATAAAATGATTATGGTTTAAATGTGACATTTTGTCTTATTAGATTAAAAAATTTATTTTATCTTTTTGTGACTAAAATAGTTCTAACTCCACTTAAACCAACATGTCAAACGTGCACATAAACAAATGGGACACTATCATACCAACACTTCCCAAACATTGCCTTGTGTGGGAGTGAGATGGTTGAAGACATCTGCCCTGTTTGGTAGAGTTGTGGGGAAGTACTTATAGCTTATGCCTTAACAGCTTATAGCTTATAACTATGAATATAAGCTGATTTCTGACTTATAAATTAAGTTTCTCCTGCCACACTCAAAGAATAAGCTGATTTCTGACTTACAAAAAGCTACAATCAGCATTGTTAAGCTAAACCAAACACATCAAAATAGTTTAAATTAAGCTGAAAAAAAGCTGTACCAAACAGGGCCATCAGATGATCAAAGGCAAGGCTAACGGTCAAATCGCTAGCCCTTATCTTCTGTATAAATATAAGAAAGTTTGAACATCTAATTCCTTTGAGATGGATTTGCGACTTCAACTGGATTTTTTGTTACAAAAGCAGGAATTATATTGGGCTCAACATTCTAAACAACAATGGCTGCATTTGGGAGACCGCAATACAAAATTTTTTCATCAAATGGCCTCCTGGAGGCGGAGTCGAAACCGTATCTCATGTATTCAGGACAAAGATGGGACTGTGTTGACTCATCAGCAGGACATTCAACGGGCTTTTGTGGAGCATTTCCAGCAACTCTTTTCACCTTTACCGGACTCCAACAACTTGCACATGGACTCTCTGGACTCAGAATGTTGCCTTTTCCCTTGTAGATTTTCCGCAACAACGGATTGTTGTCGATGGGTCTTGGATCTCGGTTACGGACAGAACTGGGTTGGCTTGGGTTTGGCTGGACGCCGATAACCACATTGTCAAGCATGAAGCCATTTTGGGGCCTCCTATGCTCTCTCCTCAACAAGCAGAGGTTGCTTCGGTTCTCCATGCAATGCGTTGGGCATTCCAGCAAGGTATCCAGTGTCTCCTCTTGCAAACCGATTGCCTGGTTTTGGTGCAACTTCTGCGTACCTCTAATCAACATAGTGATTGGCAGCTTCACTCTCTTTTGAGTGATATTTTGTTATGCTCTAAAAAATTTGTACATGTTGTCCTAGAAAAAGTAGATAGAGCCGAGGTACACTCTGCTCATTCTCTTGCAACTTCTGTAAGAATTGCTTCTGATAATTAATGCAATCTCTAAGTTGCTTTAGTCCTCAAAAAAATAGTTGGTTGCAGCAAGAAGCTCCCCATTCATTTTATGGATGGGAATATATAACAATTTTCATATGGAAATAAAGATTTAGGTAGACTCTAAATGCACTTTAAATTTTTTGTTTTTTTGGGGGGTTAGACATCCTAAATTTTAAATTTTTTAATAACAATTTATTCATTCATTAAATTATTAAAATGTCCAAAACTCTAACTTCAACTGGTTTAGTGCTTTGACTAGCCCTTTTCAAACCTTCTGCCACCACGCCCCATCCTTTCCCCAACCTCCAGCGGCATCCCCTAGCCCTTGCCACCACACCACGATGCTCTCCCCTTTGCCCCTTCCATATCTCCCTCCTTCATAGCTCCTTTTCTCTATGCATCTCACCCATATCATTCTCTTCTTATTCTAAAAATGTTATTTAAAACCACAATATCTGTTGGTGACGATGAATAATTTCTTAGTTGTAGTTTGAGATTGACTTTTGTTTGGTTTTTCATCAGTGATTTTTTTTTTTTTAATTTTCAAAAAATTTTAACGTTTTAGGTTATATTTAACTAGACGAATCAAAAAAGTAAAAAAAAAAAATTAGAAAAAAAAAATCCATAGGGGGAACTAAAAAGTCAAATTATTTTTGGCCTTTTTTTTTTTTTTTTTTTTTTTTTTTTTTTTAATTTTTTTTAATTCATTTTTTTTTTTTTTTTTTTAAACTTTTGAAATCCTTCTACACTAAACGGACCATAAAAGTATTTAAAAAAAAAATGATACAAATTAGGAAAAAAAAAACTAAAAACTAAAACTAAAAAAAAAAAAAATTGACGTTTTTAGCTGAATCCTAGACTAAGCCTTAGTACGTGTTTGGCATGCACTAAAAAAGTACAATTTTTTTGCATACATACACTTATTTGGATCATATCAATCAACATCTATCAACATCACCTCTCCACTTTTCTATTCACTTTCTTTACTTTTCTACACAATTTTTTTTTATTTATAAAAAGTCAAAAAATACACTTATTTAAAACATCCCAAACCACCCCTTAATTTCTATTGGATCTTGCCCACCTTTCAAAAGACTCTCTCACCCTCCTTGTCCCTTTCCACATCTTCCTTCAAATGTGCACTTTCATTTTGGAATAAGAAAAATGCTTGGTAGCTTAAATATGTGTAGTTCGAGTAGTTCAAATGTATCAAAACGACGTCGTTTTACACTCAAATAATGTTGTTTTGAGACATTCGAACCATAAAAATTCGAGCTACCAAGCATTGTTGTTAAAATAAAGCTTGGGGCCTCGACAAATCGAGGCTTGAATGCCTCGAAATGTTTTTTTTTCTTTTTCTTTTCTATTTGTTGTTCTGTATTGGTTTGGTTGTTTTTTATGTATTTATTTGTTTGTTGGGCTGTATTGGTTTGTTTGTTTGTTTGTTTGTTTTTTTGGAAGGGTGGTTATGTATAGGGGTGTGCCAAAAAATTAGACATCCCGCACCAACTCAGCCTGTGTGGTTTAATAAGGTGAGTGAGTTGGGTTGGACTGGTTGGATGATAAAATTGATTGATCAATTAGGTTGTTGATTAAAATTTGTTAATTCCATATAGTTTTGTATGAGTCCCTGTTATATTTTTATTTTAAATCAGGAAGACTCGGAGGAAATTGAAATGGCTTTGGTATTGTTTATGCAGCCATTTCAATTTCCTCTGAGTCTTCCTGATTTGAAATAAAAATATAGTAGAGACTTGCACAAAACTATATGAAATTAACAAAATTTAACCAATAGCCTAACTGTGACACCTGAATTTTTGATTTAATTCAATACTATGTAGGAAAAATATAAAAAACAAAAAAAAATATATAGATAAATAAATAAATAAATAAATTTTTTATCGTGACCTGTCACACCCTAGCATATAGGGTGGTGACTATGCATATAATAACATAAGTGAGTCATCAAATGGGACATGGGGGAATAGGAAACATGGCCACCTCTGAGGACAGGTGGCCAAGTTAAACTTGCCATACGTCAATAAGAAACCATGCATTCTCCTCTATAAATAGTAAGCACTAGTGGCTAATAAGGCTAGGCATAAGGTTATTCGACCCACACAAACCGCCCTACCCGATCCGACCAGCACGCATAGGGGCGGTTTCACAAATACATTAGGGTCGAGTCTGGTTTGGATTTTGGTTGATTTTTGGGTTGCGGGTGGGTTATGAGTTTGAATCACACCTGTCCAACCCGCTCGTATTAACTTTTTTTTTTTCAAATCTGAACCGTTCATCTTCACTTCATCTATACCCAAACAAACAAATAACCCAAACCCTAATCTAATCACTTAAACTACTGCGCAATTCTTCTTTCTTTCCTCTCATCTCATTAGTCTCTCATTCTCTCGTTTTTTATCTGGACCGATCAACCTCACAAGATCGACTCTCTCTCATCACAAGATTGACCAATCGACCTCACTCTCTCATCGCATCGATCGACCTCGCAAGATCAAATCTCTCTCCAATAACTCTCAGGTATGTGTCTCTCTGTCTCTGTCTCCCTCTCTCATCGATCTCTGATTTTTCTTATGGGCATTCAGTTCTGTGTCTCTCATTCTTCCATCTCTCTCTCTGTGTCAACCGGCGAAGAGACCGATTGACCTTCGCAAGATCAACTCTGCCCTATAACTCATAGGTAAGCCACTTTGTCTCTGTCTCTCTTTTCTCGATCTTTGATTTTATTTTTTTTTAGGCAATCAGATCTGTCTGTCTCAATGGTGATTTTTTTTTTTTTTTTTTGGTGTTATTGGAATTAAATCTGTGTTATTGGAATTTCTGTTTATTTGTTCATTGGAATTAAATTTGTTTATTTGTTCATTGGAATCTCTGAGTTATTTTTTATTTTTTATTTTTACTGTTATTGGAATTAAATCTGTGTCAATGGAATTAAATCTGAGTTTATTTGTTCATTTCTATTTTTTTTTAAATCTGTTATTCAATTTGCGATTCAATCTATGTTAAATATGAGATTTGGAATTGAATCTGTGTTGTTGGAATTTCTGTTTATTTGTTCATTGGAATTAAATCTGTTTATTTGTTCATTGGAATATCTGAGTTTATTTATTTATTTATTTTTCTATTATGGGAATTAAATTTGTGTCAATGGAATTAAATCTGAGTTTATTTGTTCATTTCTGTTTTTTTTTTTTTTTTTAAAATCAGGTATTCAATCTGTGTTAAATCTGAGAGTTGGATTTGAATCTATGTTATTGGAATTAAATATGTTATTGAATCTGTTAGAGGGTGATTCAATCTATTAGATGCAATATGTAGACATTTGTTTATCTTTTCATTACTTTATTCTTTTACACTTTTTTGGTCAAAGGAATTATGAAGATTGATGATTGAATTTTTTATTTTTCAATTTGTTTTTGTGCAAGGTTCATCAACCAAATGCATGGAACTGAAATTTTTGGAACTTAGATGTGATTCATAATGATGGAGTTTGAGATATTGTGTTGCAAATGTTTTTATTTTTTATGACAACAATCTTATTTTATTTTTCTTATTGCATTTTCATTTTGGATGAATGTAATAGTTAATGAAGTTTGTTTGACAATAATTTTATTTTATTTTATGTCATTTTATTATTGCATTTTGGATGAATGTAATAGTTAATGAAGAATTACTTTTAGGTAAACTTAGGATTTTGAATATTTTACTTTAATTTTGTATTATTGGATAGTGGTAGATGGAGAATGTTAAGAAAGTAATTGGAGAATGAGATTGATGATTTAGCTTAGGATTTTGAATGATTTTACTTTAATTGTATTATTAGGTAGTAGATTAATTTTGAATGATTTTAGGATTTTCAATGATTTTGAATGATTTTAGGATTTTCAATGATTTGTTTGTGTTAGGATTGATTTTTTTTGTGTTTTTAATTTTATAAGTTTTAATTCATTAATTATTAATGTTGGAGTATTTTAGAAAATTGGAAGAAAATGATCCAAAATAAATATTTACAAAATGGGGAAAAAAAAAACTCAAAAATTAATTTTTAAATGAAAAAATCAAAATCACAATCCGTCCGCAGCTGCCTGCATATCTGCAAATCCTATCCGCACAAATCGCAAACCGCGTTGCGGGCGGTTGCGGTTTGTCTTTTTCCCAAACTGCATAAATGCGGACAGGTCAAAACCGAACCGCAAACCACAAAAATCCGATCCGTGAACACCCCTAGTGGCTAACATTGCTAAGCTTTGGATAAAAAGGAAATATACCTACGAGTAATAACAAGACAGTTATAGAAAAGTAAAGGTTAAAGGTCAATATTAAGGTAAGTTATATTATATCTTGAGTTACCATAACATATTTTACGTATATTTTGAATTATCATAATTTATTTTATACAAGTTATATTTTATAATTTATATTTAGATTTCAAGTATATTAATTATTTTCTAAACTCCAATTGCTGAAATTGAAACCCATAGATATGTTTGTTTAAATTTTAGAAATTATTTGAGAATGATTATAAAAATATTTATTTTTGGTAAGTACTACCACGGGAGTCCCATGCTCTGGGGACTTAAATAACCATTAGCATCTGATTGGTCACTTTATGGCATTCTGTTTGTCATTGATCTATTGACCTTTGTTCTGATTGTCACTTGAGTGACCTTTGTTCTATTCTATACCGTGGTTATGATTATTTACATATATAATTTCTGGATTTCAGTTTCTGCCACTCAAATAATTTGTTATTCAAATTACGTTATGTTTAATGTTTTAGTTTAAATAACTATTTATGGTTAATTTTGAGCCCTACGCTCTTGCCACACAAATAATTTGTTATTCAAATTACGTTATGTTTAATGTTTTAGTTTAAATAATTATTTATGGTTATTTTTTAGCCCTACGCTCTTGCCATAATACTTCTCACTCTACTATGTACTTATAACTGTTACCTCTTTTAAGTGATGAATAATTTCTGGATTTCAGTTTATGCCACTCAAATAATTTGTTATTCAAATTACGTTATGTTTAATGTTTAAGTTTAAATAACTATCCATGGTTATTTTTGAGCCCTACGCCCTTGGCATAAATTTCTCACTCGGCTATGTGTTTATAACTGTTACCCCTTTTAGTTGATGAAATATAAAAAAGGATTATGACCTCGTGTAGTGGACCATCTCAGAACTTGTTGCCGATATTTTATTTTTATATTTTTTTCTTTTCTTACTTTTCTTCGTTTTGTTGTCTGTCACCGAATAATAAAATAATAACAGCTGATGAATGAATTTCCTTTTATTTAAATAATAGGGTAGTTAATGAAGTTAATTATGTATTTTCTTACTTTTCTTTCACTTCCGTTTGCGCCACTTAATTTAGTAAAATGAGAATTAGTTAGAAAGTTGCAAATCTAGCCCTAAGCATCTGGGAGTTGGGTCATGACACTAGCTGATCAATCAATTTTATCACTCAATCAGTCCAACCCAACTCACCTTATCAAATTACACAGGCAGAGTTGATACGAGATGTCTAATTTTTTAACACACTCCTACACATAACTACCCTTCCACAAAAAAAAAAAAAAAAAAAAACAAAACAAAACAATTCGAGGCATTCGAGCCTTGATTTGTCGAGGCCCTTCCTGTCCATATCTTCAAATGCTCACTTTGTTTTTTTATCTCTCCAACTTCTCCCTTTCTCACCAAATGGTCAATTTTGTAGCCAAATATTGTGGTTAGATCCACCCATCACATTCAATTGCCTAGCAAGTTCATACAAAAACTACCAATCATTTCTTAGCATAAAACAAAGCAATTATGTAAAACTACATTAATAACTTGGCAGAGATTTATATTGTTTCTCAGATTCTCATAACTACAAGGCTAAAACACAATTAAGTTTATTTAATAAAAAACCAAGCTCACTACATGAGGTGGAACTCATGGAACATATTAACTTGATCAGCCTGATATATATATATATATATATTGACTAAATAGGATAGTAATGAATCCATCTGTCAAACATGTAATAGCATTCCATGCGATAGTACTCTGGAGCTGTGTGACCAGCACCCTGTAAATAGCAAAAAAAATATATCATGCATATAATTTTTCTTTAATTTTTAATTTGTACATCACAGTGAAGAAAGTAATTGAGAGATTTTTTTTTTTTCCTTACTTTTACAGTTGCATATGTCAAACGATACCCATGCTCAGAATAGTTTATTGTGTATCTGCATTCATCAAAAAGTTTATTTAAAAACCTCATAAGATCATAAGAAACTTGAAAGTGAAAAAAGAAAAAACTTACCCTGCAACTTGACCGTCGACGAACCATGGCCTCCAATCATTGACAACTGTCAAATTCAGAGACTTTATCCATTTCACAGTACCCACAAATGGAACAACCATGTCACGGTCACCACTGTGGAGAAAAGAGAAGAAATATTTTAGCGAACAAAGATCGAATACTTTTGGCTCAAACATAACTAAATTCACTTAAGTTCATCACATTAATTATTGCCTATCTAGCAAAGTATGAGGAAGCTTGCATTGTTTTAATTCTAGATGCACCCTAGTAGATCAGAAATAACCTTTAGTTTTGCCTGTCTGATTCATAAGAGTCATTATGAGGCTGAAAAATTCAATTTGCTTTCTTCCTCATATACATAAGAATTTAGTAAGGTGAATATTGAATCATTCAGTGTAACGTTACATGTACCGAATTGTTATACACAATGATTTTAGTCTTTTCATTTCAAATCAAAACCTACCTTGGCTCATAATGTCAAAAAGAGTAATTATATACAAATAAAAATTATGTACATAAATTTTCATGCCAAAATGATCACTACTTCTGATACTTTCATTTAAAATCAAAACACCAACTATTGTGACTCATCATTCTGGAGGGATTTTGTCTAAAAATTCTCTTTGCATACCATTTTCCATTAATATATATGCTTTTAGGTCTGCCTAATCTAGCAAACAATACAGGTTTAGCATATTACATCCTTGGTTTTCATCATGAGTTCTATCATAAGTTGTATCTTTGATCAATTGATTGTCTCATACAAATCCAAAATACCAAAATATAGCCAAGATCATGGGAAGTTGAGAAAGCTTACGTCTCTACAAGCACTTCTAAGCCTAATTCTTTGAGTTCTTCATGAACAGGAACAACAGTCAAGATGTCTTTTGTGTATGATAAGCTCTTGTTGCATCTCTCCCAATTCAATACAGATCCCTAATTGTGCACCATCATTGATACGTTATTTGTCATTCAATGGGATCATATAAAGTATATATAATTAAGGTCGTGATCGTTCAATATACCTTTCGAACGTGTAAAGCTTCTTGAACAGTATCATCATTTGACCAGATGTAGGAGAGTACATAATTAAAATTCTGTAAAAAAAGTAAAATAGTTCAACTTTCTAGCTCTCTACATTTCTAGTACAATGTGTATTCAAAGAGAGTGAATCTTGTTTTGTGAACTATTTCCAAAAAAAAAAAAAGAAAGAAAGAAAAGTTAATAATAATATTCTGAAAATAACCCACTTTCATCAAAAAAGTTGTCTACTACTTTTTAAATTGTTTTCACACAAAATTGAAGACACTGGGTATTTTTGAACTTTTTATTGCTTAGTTTCTGAAAATATGAAAAATGAGAACACAACCAAAAAAGTTTAAAAAGAGAGAGAGAGAGATTACTCGGCACCAAAGATTCGGGATCATTGGAGGTGAGAGAAGGAAATCTGAAGGACCTTCGTCAAGAGACCTTCGTGCTGCAGGTTCTTCTCCAGGGTCAGGAGTTGCAAAAACACATTTCGGTTCCAAAATATCATTGCGATACAGATCTTTAATGCACTGCAAAGTCAAGATTTCATTCAACCTTCAAGCCCAAATAATTTGAAGAAGACTATGTTTGAACTAAAATTAAAAACAAGTAATATCCATCTAACCGTTTTGATATTGCCGAGCGCAACTATACATGCTGTGTTTGCTGGGTCTATATTCACGTAAGTGTCATTGCAACCCTTTTTGGCATTCTGGAAAGAGCATTAAACGATTACAATTAGAACAATTCGTTTTTTGTGGGCTAAAATTTGACTTTCAATAATGAAGATGTTTTCAAAAAAAAAAAAAAAAAAAAATGCTGAAGATGACAATAGTTTGTACTTTCTATGCAGAGTAACATTTAAAGGACTACATATGCTGGGTATTAAACCATTACAATTAGAAAAATCGGTTTTTTTTGGGCTAAAATTTGACTTTCAATGATGAAGATGATGAAGATGTTTTCAAAAAAAAAAAAATGATGACGATGACAACAGTTTGTACTTTGTATGCAAAGTAACATTTATAGAACTACATATGCTTAGTCTGCACATAAATAAGTGCCTCTCAATTGTCTGATATCTGAAGTGAGGTGATTTTTACATCATATAACAGAATGAAGTGCAAGTATATTAGGTGATTTTTACAGTAGAAGAGTTCAAATCACCTCATAAATCTCATCCGATATAAGTGCCATCCTATGAGCGAAAACTACTTTTGAATTCTCATCAATAACCGAATCTGTTCGTGGGCTCCCAAGTAAGTACCCCTGACACCATTTCAAACACAAAGAAGAGCTTTTGGATCAGCCAAAACAACCAATTTTTATCTAAAGAAAAGGCATCACACTATTATCTAACCCACCCACCCCCAAATAAAAATAAAAAATTGCATAAAAGGCACATCCCAACAAGATTGATATGTGCCATACCAATCATAAGAACCTCAAAACCCATAAACACCCAACAATTAATCCATACATAACATCAAGAGTCTACTAAAACAAACAGGATAACCCAACATGCCATCTACTTCACATAGGCTTTTTAACAAGCACATGATAGGCATTGATTGGTAGACTATTGATAGGCTTCCTTCAAATTCAAAGAAGCATTTATACTAAAAACCAATAATTTTTTCATTAATTTGGGTGGGACCCACATACTACTGCACTCTTTTCTGTGATTTTTTTTTTTCTTTTGATTTGTAACATTACTGTTCAAAGAAAATTGATTTATACCAGTTAAAGACTTAATGACCAATGAACTAAAAGAATTTTAAGAGACTAACTAGAAGTATCCAAGTTCCTTTTATATTGAAACATGTACCTTGAGGTTCATAAATGGCTTGACTCCATCTTTATTACCTGCAAACCCACAAAACAAAAAGTAAGCTTAAAGAGTTGGAATTTATGGAGGAGATGTGTATCAATGAAGAGACTATTGTGTGCAAATTAAAGATTTAGTTGTGAAGAGAGTAAGAAGTCACCATCTACAATCTTTTTAGTGACCAATGGGACAATCATGCCTGAATAAGAATTACCACCAACAAATAGTTGAACTGCTAGATATTGAGGGTGTTCATCAAACCACTGCAATCATTTATCACAACAAAAATATAAGCAAATTAGGAGCAAAATTTTAAAAAATAATTAAAATTAAAACCATGATACATATAGAAAATCAGGTTTGCTTAAGACACATTAAAAAAAAATGTAATCCGTAAAATATTATCTTTAAATTTGAACTAATTGTAACTCTTAGCTTCCAATAAAGAGGTTCAAGGAGTATGTGCACGAGTAACAAATATAGAGTGCAATTGAGACAAAATCATATGGGGTGCAATTTGTTAATAAAAAATCACGAATGAAATTAACTTAACCATATAGTCTTTTTATCACTATGGAAATATAAAAAATTTGATTTAGTGATATTGTTATGTAATATCATGTGTTTTATCCGATGTGTCTATTACGACAATTTTTTGTAGTTTCTAACCTCTCTAAGGAATTGGTAAGATTGTTCTGCTGATTTGGAGTCAGAGGTTGGCCAACCATCCGCGGTTCTTGAATAGGAGAACCCGGTCCCCACGGGTGCATCAAGAAATATAATGCTAGCAGTCTTGACAATTAAAATTTTCACCATTATTTTAATAATAATTCAAAATAAAAGAAAATAAAAATACACACCAAGATTAAGTATTATAATTATTTCACCTTTGTCCATGCGTATGGATAATATCTCAATTTTGGTAGACCCCCGGTGTAGTTTTGAATTACGAACTCCAGTGGACCTATATGGAAACAAAAGAAGCCATGCAATAAAAATTAAATAAACAAACAAGAATAAGATTGTTGACTTATTATTATTATTATTAAGGTTGATTATAATTTACATTATTCAAACTATTATCGAATATACGACACACATTTAATACCACACATTTAGAACTCTTCATTGTCAAATATACGACTTTTGATGGTTGAGAGGGGTCTTTAATGTACAATTACAAAATTGAAGAAATAAAATTATACGAATTAATAATTAATAAATAAAAAATAATCTAACCCGTACTACTACTATTATTATTATTATTGTTAGATTTTTGTAATTGACAATCTCGTTTAACAAAACTTATTTTAATTGTAATTTTATTTGCTCTTTTGTTTCAATAAACCAATGTTGTTGGACTACTCGAGCAGTCATTTGTGAGCTTGAGCAGTGAAGTGGTTCATCTAGTATTTCTACCTACGTCTGAACTTCTAGGAGACAAATTTTACCATTTGAGCGGTGGATATTGTGCTCGAGCGGTTGGCTTATATGTTTACACCACCTTTTCTCATACCGCTCAAGCAGCAAAGTGATGGCTCGAGCAGACTTCGCGACTCTATTTAGTATAATGTGCACCATTTGCTATTTTTAAGGTTTAACCAATCCAAATTTTCAAAGTGGAGAGCTACTAAGGTTTTCTATATTGGAGGATGTTTATTTGTTCGTTTTCTTGATGATTTGAGAGTGATCGATGGATCTACTAGCTTCATATTGACATCATCAAGGAGTCACTACTAAAGAAAGGGCCTTTTGAGTCGGTTTTTTGAGTCGGCAAATTTTACCGTCACAAAAGGTAGCCTTTCTGGGACGGCATAGAGTTAACGACTCAAATACCAAACCTTTAGCGTCGGCACTGTTGGCCGACACAAAAAATTAATATTTGATAGCATTATTTGAGTCGGTTGAATTTACCGACGCAAAAGATAGACCTTTTGAGTCGGCATAGACCTTTTGCGTCGGCAAATTTGTGCCGACGCAAAAAATTAGACCTTTTTGTGTCGGCAACTGATGCCGTAGCAAAAAAAAAAAATTTATAGCCAAGATATATATATATTTACTTGATTATATTTAATAAATATATTTATTTATACATATACTTTTATATTAATATTGAGTGTATATACTATAAATAATATATATCTCGTTTAATATCTGAAAGAGGTATGGTGGTGAAGTGGATTTAGTGCGGTGACCTCGGGTCAAATTGTCCAAATGGGTGTGTGTTCGAAACTTGGGAGCCTCAATGAGAAAATTATGAGTTAAATTTTTTAAAACATTTAACCACTTTTTGAGTCGGCAATCTACCGTCTCAAAAAATTAAAACTTTTTGCGTCGGCAGATTGCCGACTCAAAAACTTTTTGCGACCCCACCATTTTCATCCCTTGAGTTGCCGTCGAAACGCCGTCGCAAAAAGTTTTTGCGTCGGCAAATACGCTATTTGCGACGGCACCCTGCCGACTCAAAAGCCCTGTTTTCTAGTAGTGAGTTTATTTTTATTATTTCATTCACAAAAGAGAGAGGTGTTTTTCGGTGGATTTTGGGAAACTTGGGCTTGAAGCTTTGGTGGATTTTGGAATGGCTCATCCTCGTGAATTCGATATCAGCGTTGTGGATTCAATGTTGGACAAAGCAATTCCGAGGTGAAGACAGTGGTGGAAGAGGCACATCCGATTTTGGTTAATTCGGACATGAATTTTCGTTAAGTAATTGAGGCTACTCGTGTGTAATTTCTTTTTGTCTTCTTCGTGGATTATTTTATAATTTTGACTCGTGATTTTTTAATCACAATTGGAGGTGCTTCAATTATGATTTTTTTTTCACGTTAAATCGTTGTGCCGATTTGTTATTGATTGTTTGATTGGGATTGATATTAATTTTTTTAAATTAAAATATAATTACAAATAAATATCTCGAGAGTTTTTAAAATTTTTAATTATTATAAGTGAAATCATTTAACCTCCAATTGGGACTAGGATCTCTATTCTTAAAAAATTTATGGGTCATGCTAAGAATAGCTTTAAAGGTTGTCATTAATAATTCAACACTGCTGGGGAACCCCGGTGGGGTGACTCTCAGCACCCCCACCTCCACGTGGGGGGCTGTGATTGCAAGTCAAAAAATAAAATAAAATAAAATTCAATAAAAAAAAAAATGCTTGGGAGCACTAATTAGTACCATTCAATTTTGTCAGTCATTTTTCATTAAGAAAAATGCTTGGGAGCACTAATTAGTGCTCCCACTAATTAGGTGGCAGTGAGTCCCGCCATTAATGATGTGATGTTTTGATTTTGGAGTTGTATTTTTTATTTTTTTTTTTTTTTTTTTTTACTTTTTTAATGCATTAGTGCTATTAGTGGTGATGTTTTTAGTGGGATGAATCATTGTTGTTTCATTAAAATCTCTAAAAAAAAATACTAGTACAATCAGTATTTTCATTAGAATAAACATAAGAGTAATGCTAGCATTTTAAAAAGTTTTATTAATTTTTTTACTAAATATTTCACATGGTTGTGGGACTTACATGAGACTTATATGGTGTGAATCTCACACTCATGTAAGATATTTGGTAGAAAATTTGATAAAACTTTTAGAATTTTTAACATTTTTAAAAAAAATAAACTATATAAAATTTTTTATACAATATAATATGTCACCCGGTATTTTTAAACAATCTAAAAAGTTATTCTCACACCATTTTAAATGAAGATTCTGTATGTAAAATATCAGGTGACTAATGTACTACATATTGTAACAAACATTGTTGATCAATAGTTAATTTAAGGCAAAATCTTGTGTCACTAAGGGCACAGACTGGAAAGTAGCGACAGTCTGAGAAAGTCCATTGAAAGTTAGTTAGCCAATTGGAAAGGTACCAGCATGATAACCCAAAAAAATTATTGAAAACTCAGATTGTGCCGCACTCAGACAATCAAAGGCAGTCCAGTCTCACCAGGTTTAACCCTACGGACAAATTTTGGCATAATAATTCATTCTGGGTTTTGATTTCTGTGTTAGTATCATAATTGTACTAAACAAAGTAGGACTTATTTGTTTTCAGAGGTAGAATAAAGTAGATTAATAGTGAGGGAACTGCTAGTGAGGAGATTAAGAAAAATGTGTTTGTTTGATAACCAGTGGACTAATAATAATTCGTGTTTGTTTTGAGAAATAGGGATGCGATTAGCCATGTAAAATTATACAAATATCCTTGTTGTACTAGTATTAAATTTAAGCTTATACCAACTAATAAATGCATTACCCAATTAAACTATTCAAAAATTAAAATTAAAATCAAAATCATATAATTAAAAATAATAAAAAATTTAACTATTAATCTATTTTTTTTATTATTATTAAAGAAACCAACCAATGGTTTCTCCAAAACCAGCCCATGGTTAAAACATTAACAAAAAGATGTTGCCTTTAAGTCTATGACTTCACCCATGTAAGGCCGGCGGTGACGCCTTTACTTCATTCATACATCTAAGGCCGACGGTGATGGCGAACAAGATCGAGATCGTCAACCTTAATGAGAATGGTGATATTGCTTCATTCGGGTATGATTTTTTTTTCTTGCAAATTTTAGAGTTTGTGGGTTTGTGGATGAGAATGACAATGTTGCCTCTTTTGAGCCAATTTTTTGTAAATTTTTAGGTTTGTTGATATTTTTTGGAGATGGAAGGAACATTTTTGTGGGCAAAATCATCATTCACACTCTAATACCAACAGCTTAATTTCTAATACCAAGTCATCTATGCCTTTGCTAATCCCCTCGTTGGAGGGGAATCAGAGTCTGAACGGATTATCACTCCAGTGACTATTTTGCAAACAAACATGATATTGTGAATCTAACCTCACTACTAATCCTAATCCCAAGCCTCAACTCGAAAAACAAACAGGGCCTAAGAGAAACATACCAATTCCATAAACAAGTTCACAGAAAGAAGAACAGCCAGGGCCGCCTGGGAGCCAAAGGAAAATTGGGTCCTCTTGAGGGTTCCCTTGTGACTCAATGAAATAGTAGAACAATTCCGACTCATTTACTCTAATATATCTGCAAAACAAAAACAACAAAAATCTAAATACATGTTTCAAGTAACATCATCTAGCGTGTTCCGAGTCAGTGCACTAGGCTTTTATTAAAGCAAAGTTCAGTAATGACAAGATATACGCAATTCTATCTCTATTTTTAAAGAGACTGTTTTGTGACACTAATAACAAAAAACTTTATTGTTGGGTCAAGCCGTTTTGAATTTGAAGGGCATTACATACATTACCAGTTTCAAAGAAGAGAAAGCTGAAAATAGAGCATACCCAGTTTCAAGTTTAAAGGGAAGTTCGCCATCGTAACCCGGTAAGTACTTGACAATGTGGCCGCCTAAGACAGCTTGTGCTGAGAGTAGAAGCAGAAGCAGAAAATAATGGATGTACAACCCATATCTATCACAGTTAGCAGAGAAGCTAGAACTGTATGACTTTGGTGGAAACATATCAGATATTCCCAAGGGCCAAATATTTGAGGCACTTCGTTGGTTGTTATTGGGAGGGAAAGTTAAGATGGAATGATCATTCGGGCCCTTTGGTCTATGCTTTATACGCAGCTGACGATGGGTTAGATAGCTGAGCCCCCAGTCTATTTATTAAAAAAATTGATTTCATAGCTAATCATACAATATTTCTTTTTTTAGCTGGGGATATTAAAAAAAAATTCGGAAGTTTGACCTGATCAACAAATCAAACCCTCACTTTTTATATGTTTTAATTTAAATTCTAAATTTTTTAAATAGTATCAAATCTAAACTATATGTTTATATCCGTTGTCAACAGATAAGTGACAATTCAAATAATTTAATAATAAAAAATTTCATTATTTTTAACAATCATCCCACACCTTTATTACGCTTATCGTCCTCCATCACTACTCTTCTGACTCACTGCCACTGCTTTGTTTTAATGGCTTGTGGACCATCCGATTAGATAAGGACATGTCATGCTTTGCTTTGTTGGGCTGTCATGTGTGTGATCTAACAACCCGTTACTCTAGGAGATATTTGTTTGAAAGGATTGGAAGGGAATTGAACTTTATGTTCATTTTAAGGTGGAATCTATTTAGTTCAAAATTTATAAATTAGATTACAATTTTGATTTGGACTTTATGTCTTTCATATGTAGGGTCGTTGTGTCCTAAAGGGGGAAGGTGAAATATATGATGGGATAACAATTCCATGGATTTATTTGTAAAAAGACACTTTTGCCTCTCAAATACTTGTATTTATTTATTTATTTTTGTTTGCAAATGATGGGATAAAAATTTAAATTTTTTCAAATGGTGGGATAGAGATTCATTTCCCCCCCCATTATCACATAGACAAATGTTAGTTTTATTATGTATTGCACTTAGTAAAATAAAATAAAAACTAAAGTCTTGATTAAAAAATAAAATAAATTTATTTAGATTTTATTGATGCTTTATTTATTTAATTTTTTAAAAGTTCTAGCCAAAAAAAATATCAAAGAAAGATTTATTATTGCTATTACTCAATAAACAATTGAAAATGGTAAAATAATCTTTTGAGTATTTATCATTCTTAATAATATTTTAACCAAACAATGGATTCACTAGAATAGTCATTTCCAGACAACTAATCTCATGAGAAAACAAACATGGGACACACATCATTTCTAACCAAATAAACCAGGGACTATGTATCCAAGATTAATAGTCCGATGGATTACAATTCTCTCTTATTCAGTCCGTCAAATAAGTCAAATTATTTTTAGCCTTTTTTGTCTTTAGTAGATATTTTCAATGCAATTTTTTAAATTTTTTTCAAAATTTTATCTTTAGAAAACTTTTTTAGTTTTTAGTTTTTTTTAACTTTTGAAATCCTTCTATACCAAACAGACCATAAAAGTATTTTTTTAAAAAATTATACAAATTAAGAAAAAAAAAAACTAAAAACTAAAAATAAAAAATTGACTTTTTTAGCTAAATCCCAGACTAAGAGAATCAGCATCAGAGTCGCTACAACAACTTTGACACTATTGTAGAGAATTAAACTGTAAATATATTGATAGATTAGAGTCGTTATGGGCTTCATTCATTTTGTCAAAGTTCCAATACCTCCTCTAATGAAGCGAGCAACTGTTTATTGCTACAACACGCGATTTAGGTGTAACCGGACATCCGCCTGGCCGATGAACCAACCAATCAACGGGTCAATGGCAAATTAATTTTTTTTTTTGCATTTTTTAGGAATTGTTTGACTGGTAAGTCATCAATTTAATAATAAAAAAAAAGAAAAACAAGTATAATAAGAAAATAATATTTTAATAAGATTTAGTTAGAATAGAAAGTTTGATACAGTGCAATGACTAGCTAAAAAAAAAAAAAAAGACTTTTTAAATTATAATTTAACTAAAAATTTGAAGAGGCTGATATAGATGTTCTGAGCCTTAATTTCTATTGGATCCCGCTCACCTTTCAGAAGTATCTCTCACCATCCTTGCCCCTTTCCACGTCTTCCCATCACAAGTACACTTTCTTTTCGTCTACCTTTCCATATCTTCAAATGCTCACTGTGTCTTTTTCTCTCTCCACCTTCTCCCTTTCTCACCAAATGGTCAATTTTGTAGCCAATTATTGTGGTTAGATCTACCCACGACCTTCAATTGTCTAGCAAGTTCATACAAAAACAAACAATCATTTCTTAGCATAAAACAAAGCAATTATGTAAAACCTCATTAATAACATCGTAGAGATTTATATTATTTCTCAGATTCTCATAAGTACAAGGCTAAAACACAATTAAATTTATGTAATAAAAAACCAAGCTCATTACATGAGGTGGAACTCATGGAACATATTAACTTGATCAGCCTAATATAAATATATATATATATATACACATATATTGACTAAATAGGATAGTAATGAATCCATTTGTCAAATATGTAATAGCATTCCCTGCGATTAGGGCTGCAAATGAATCGAGCTGTTCATGAACAAGCTCAGCTCGGCTCGGAGCCCGAGCTCGAATATTAGGCTCGTTTAGGTGCCGTTTGGTAACACTTACGTTTTCTGTTTTCTGTTTATATTTACAGAAATTTAAAAAACTCAAATAAAAACTTGTTTGGTAAAATTTTTGATTTATAAATCAGTGGTCTCAGTTTATAAATTTGGCCAATAAATGAAAACACAAAAAATGTGTTTCCATTTTAAGTTTTCAGTTTTTTTTTTTTTTTTTACCACCCAACACTAGCCACCACTCGCCACAATTTTCCACCACCGTCTTCCGCCACCACCACCCACCCCCTACCACCACCTGCCACCACCACTCACCACCCACCCACCACCACCATCCACCACCAGCCACCCACCTACCACCACCACCAGTAAACGACCCGAGCTCGAGCTCGCATAAGCTCGACTCGTTAAGCTCGGCTCGTTTATCTTTATTTAAATTATATAATAAATATATTATTTATATAATAAAAAATATAAATATATATATAAATAATAATATAAATACATTTTTTATATATTAAATAATATAAATGATATTAAAAAAAATTATCGAGCCAAGCCAAGCTCGAGTTTCATTAAAATTAACGAGCCGAGCCGAGTCGAGCCGAGCTGAGCTCGAGCTTAGTTCCTTATCGAGTCGAGCTCGAGCTCAACAAACGAGCTCGATAAGTAAACGAGCCCAGCTCGAGCTCAGCAAAGCTCGGCTCGGCTCGGCTCGATTCGTTTGCAGCCCTGCCTGCGATAGTACTCTAGCGCTGTGTGACCTGAACCCTGTAAATAGCAAAAAAAATAAATTTTGCATATAATTTTTCTTTAATTTTTAATTTGTACATCACAGTGAAAAAAGTAATCGAGAGACTTTTTTTTTTCTTACTTTTACAGTTGCATATGTCAAACGATACCCATACTCAAAATTGTTTACTGTGTATCTGCATTCATCAAAAAGTTTATTTAAAAACCTTATAAGATCATAAGAAACTTGAAAGTAAAAAAAAAAAAAAAAAACTTACCCTGCAACTTGACCGTCGACAAACCATGGCCTCCAATCATTGACAACTGTCAAATTCAAAGACTTTTTCCATTTCACAGTACCCACAAATGGAACAACCATGTCACGGTCACCACTGTGGAGAAAAGAGAATAAATATTTTAGCGAGCAAAGATCGAATACTTTTGGCTCAAACATAACTAAATTCACTTAAGTTCATCACATTAATTATTGCCTAGCTAGCAAAGTATGAGGCAGCTTGCATTGTTTTAATTCAAGATGCACCCTAGTAGATCAGAAACAACCTTCAGTTTTGCCTGTCTGATTCATAAGAGTTGTTATGAGGCTGAAAAATTCAATTTGCTTTCTTCCTTGTATACATAAGAAGTTAGTAAGGTGAATATTGAATCATTCAAAGTAACGTTACTTGTACCGAATTGTTATACACAATGATTTTAATCTTTTCATTTCAAATCAAAACCCACTTTGGCTCATAAGGTCAAAAAGAGTAATTATATACAAATAAAAATTCTGTACATAAATTTTCATGCCAAAATGATCACCACTTCTGATACTTTCATTTAAAATCAAAACACAAACTATTGTGACTCATCATTCTGGAGGGGTTTTGTATAAAATTTCTCTTTGCATTCCATTTTCCATTAATATATATGCTTTTAGGTCCTGCCTAATCTAGCAAACAATACAGGTTTAGCATATTACATCCTTGGTTTTCATCATGAGTTCTATCATAAGTTGTATCTTTGATCATTTGATTGTCTCATACAAATCCAAAATACCAAAATATAGCCAAGATCATGGGAAGTTAAGAAAGCTTTTCTCTACCAGCACTTCTAAGTAGGGGTGTGCGCGGTGCGGGTCGGTGCGGTTTGATAGAAAAATAGAAACCGTATGACGGGTGGCGGATTGATAAAAGTGTCACTAGAATTTGCCATTTTTCTTATCGAAAACCGGCGGTTCGGTTGGCAAATAATGGCAGATTTGCCTTGGCGGTTCGGGTGGATTGGCGGTTTATAAAAAATATAATTCAAATTACAAAACTTAAATCAAAGAGTAAAAAAAAGACGAGAGATATCGTAATGTTAAGCATCTTGTGAAGCTTTCTTCTGATGCAGCAAGTGTAGCAACAACATGATAATATCAACGACTATACCATCAGTTCATTACAAGCATCTGTGGAAGCTACAATGATCAAATACAATACATAAAATTTCCCTCGAGTAGTAATGTAATACTATATTCTAAGGTATAGAACAACAAGCAAACTTAAGTAAAAAAGAATTTTTAGAATCCTATAAAACATGATTTAATAGCGGAGCGGGTCGGTGCGGTTTGGAAGAAAAATAGAAACCGGCGGATTGATAAAAGTGTCACTAGAATTTGCCATTTTTCTTACCAAAAACCGACGGTTCGATTGACAAATAATAACGAATTTGCCTTGGCGGTGCGGTTCGGTGCGGTTTTGGCGGTTTTAGCGGTTTCGGCGGTATTATGCACACCCCTACTTCTAAGCCTAATTCTTTGAGTTCTTCATGAACAGGAACAACAGTCAAGATGTCTTTTGTGTATGATAAGCCCTTGTTGCATCTCTCCCAATTCAATACAGATCCCTAATTGTGCACCATCATTGATACGCTATTTGTCATTCAATGGGATCATATAAAGTATATATAATTAAGGCTGTGATTGTTCAATATACCTTTCGAACATGTAAAGCTTCTTGAATAGTATCATCATTTGACCAGATGTAGGAGAGTGCATAATTAAAATTTTGTAAAAGAAGTAAAATAATTCAACTTTCCAGCTCTCTACATTTCTAGTGCAATGTGTATTCAAAGAGAGTGAATCATGTTTTGTGAACTATTTCCAAAAAAAAAAAAAAAAAGAAAGAAATTTTGTAAAGCTTGTTCAATATTTGACCAGATGTGTATTCAAAGAGAGTGAATCTTGTTCAATATACCTTTCGAACATGTAAAGCTTCTTGAACAGTATCATCATTTGACCAGATGTAGGAGAGTGCATAATTAAAATTTTGTAAAAGAAGTAAAATAATTCAACTTTCCAGCTCTCTACATTTCTAGTGCAATGTGTATTCAAAGAGAGTGAATCTTGTTTTGTGAACTATTTCCAAAAAAAAAAAAAGAAAGAAAAGTTAATAATAATATTCTGAAAATAACCCACTTTTTATGTAACACCAAAAAAGTTGTCTACTACTTTTAAAATTGTTTTCACACAAAATTGAAGACGGTGGGTATTTTTGAACTTTTTATTGCTTAGTTTCTGAAAATATGAAAAATGAGAACACAAAAAAAAAAGTTCAGAGAGAGAGAGAGAGATTACTCGGCGCCAAAGATCCGGGATCATTGGAGGTGAGAGAAGGAAATCTGAAGGACCTTCTTCAAGAGACCTTCGTGCTGCAGGTTCTTCTCCAGGGTCAGGACTTGCAAAAACACATTTCGGTTCCAAAATATCATTGCGAAACAGATCTTTAATGCACTGCAAAGTCAAGATTTCATTCAACCTTCAAGCCCAAAGAATTTGAAGAAGACTATGTTTGAACTAAAATTAAAAACAAGTAATGATCCATCTAACCGTTTTGATATTGCCAAGCGCAACCATACATGCTGTGTTTGCTGGGTCTACATTCATGTAATTCTCATTGCAACCCCTTTTGGCATTCTGGAAAGAGCATTAAACCATTACAATTAGAAAAATCCGTTTTTTGTGGGCTAAAATTGGACTTTCAATAATGATGTTTTAAAAAAAAAAATAAAAAATGATGAAGATGACAATAGTTTGTACTTTGTATGCAAAGTAACATTTAAAGAACTACATATGCTGAGCATTAAACCATTACAATTAGAAAAATCAGCTTTTTGTGGGCTAAAATTTGACTTTCAATGATGAAGATGATGAAGATGTTTTCAAAAAAAATGATGAAGATGACAATAGTTTGTACTTTGTATGCAAAGTAACATTTAAGGAACTACATATGCTTAGTCTGCACATAAATAAATGCCTCTAAATTGTCTGATATCTGAAGTTAGGTGATTTTTACATCAGATAACAAAATGAAGTGTAAGTATATTAGGTGATTTTTACAGTGGAATAGTTCAAATCACCTCATGGAAATCACATCAGGTATCAGAATGAAATGTAAATATATTCGGTGATTTTACAGCGGAAGTGTTCAAATCACCTCATAAACCTCATCCGATATAAGTGCCATCCTATGAGCGAAAACTACTTTCGAATTCTCATCAATAACCGAATCTTTTCGTAGGCTCCAAGTAAGTACCCCTGACACCATTTCAAACACAAAGAAGCCTTTTGGATCAGCCAAAACAACCAATTTTTATCTAAAGAAAAGACAGCACACCATTATCTATACCCCAAAACAAAAAAAAAAAAGAAAAAATACGAATTCTCATCAATAACCGAATCTTTTCGTAGGCTCCAAGTAAGTACCCCTGACACCATTTCAAACACAAAGAAGCCTTTTGGATCAGCCAAAACAACCAATTTTTATCTAAAGAAAAGACAGCACACCATTATCTATCCCCAAAACAAAAAAAAAAAAAGAAAAAATAGAAAATTGCATAAAAGGCACATCCCAACAAGATTGATATGTGCCCTACCAATCATAAGAACCTCAAAACCCACAAACACCCAACAATTAATCCTTACATAACATCATGAGTCCACTAAAACAAAAAGGATGACCCAACATGCCATCTACTTCACATAGGCTTTTTAACAAGCACATGATAGGCATTGATTGGTGGACTATTGATAGGCTTCCTTCAAATTCAAAGAAGCATTAATACTAAAAACCCATAATTTTTTCATCAATTTGGGTGGGACCCGCATACAACTGCATTCTTTTCTGTGATTTTTTTTTTCTTTTGATTTGTAACATTACTGTTCAAAGAAAATTGATTTATACCATTTAAAGGCTTAACGACCAATGAATTAAAAGAATTTTAAGAGACTAACTAGAAGTATCCAAGTTCCTTTTATATTGAAACATGTACCTTGAGGTTCATAAATGGCTTGACTCCATCTTTATTACCTGCAAACCCACAAAACAAAAAGTAAGCTTAAAGGGTTGGAATTTATGGAGGAGATGTGTATCAATGAAGAGACTATTGTGTGCAAATTAAAGATTTAGTTGTGAAGAGAGTAAGAAGTCACCATCTACAATCTTTTTAGTGACCAATGGGACAGTAATGCCTGAATAAGAATTACCACCAACAAATAGTTGAACTGCTAGATATTGAGGGTGTTCATCAAACCACTGCAATCATATTTCACAACAAAAATAAAAGCAAATTAGGAGCAAAATTTTGAAAAATAATTAAAATTAAAACCATGATACATATAGAAATCAGGTTTGCTCAAGACACAAAAAAAAATGTAATCCCTAAAATATTATCTTTAAATTTGAACTAATTGTTACCCTTAGCTTCCAATAAAGAGGTTGAAAGTGTATGTGCACGAGTAACAAATATAGAGTCCAATCGAGACAAAATCATATGGGATCCAATTTGTTAATAAAAAATTATGATTGAAATTAAGTAAGACATCTCGGCTCTTTCAAACTTAACCAGATAGTCTTCTTATCACTATCGAAATATAAAAAATTTGATTTAGTGATATTGTTATGTAATATCATATGATTTATCCGATGTGTCTATCATAACAATTTTTGTAGTTTCTAACCTTTTTAAGGAATTGGTAAGACTGTTCTGCTGATTTGGAGTCTGAAGTTGGCCAACCATCTGCAGTTCTTGAATAGGAGAACCCGGTCCCCACAAGTGCATCAAGAAATATAATACTAGCACTCTTGAAATTAAAATTTTCACCATTATTTTAATAATAATTTAAAATAAGAGAAAATAAAAATACACACCAAGATTAAGTATTATTATTATTTCACCTTTGTCCATGCGTATGGATAATATCTCAATTTTGGTAGACCCCCGGTGTAATTTTGAATTACGAACTCCAGTGGACCTATATGGAAACAAAAGAAGCCATGCAATAAAAATTAAATAAATAAACAAGAATAAGATTGTTGACTTATTATTATTGTTAAAGTCAATTATATTTTACTTTATTTCAACTATTGTCGAATAGGGTATTGTTGGCTACATATTTTGTGCAAGCCAGTGACAATTCGACGCGTGACAAAGTAAGGGTAACATGGGGAGACCAGTCAAGTCTTCGATCCTGATCATACACGTGGCAGTTAATATTGGTTGTTATAAGGTCTGAGTAGCAGCGGATCGACAAAGAGATGCAAGGTGACGTGGCTTCAACAGTTACTCACATTCAAATTCAAATATAGGAGGGAAGCCTAACTGCAAGGGAAGGCGTAGTGGAACTACTTATAAGGTAGCATGATCAGCGATCACGGAGGAGCAGTTCGACGGTTTGAAGTGCAGTTCGATGGTTATCTTTGAAGAGTATAAATAGCAGGAAGGCCTTCAGAGAAAGAGGCAAAAAATCTAAAGAAAACCAGTCTTACTTTACATATTCTAGTTTTATTCCCTGTTCTTTACATTTCTGTACTTTAAATCCCTGCACTGCACTTCATTTGTAGGAGTAGTTTTCGAGTATATTGCCGCTGTAAATCTCTACGAGGCTGAGATCATTGTAAGTTTTTCATACTAATGAAATGCTTCAATTTATTTAACTATTCTTATGCTTAAATTCTCTTAAATCAAGCTACCAGTAAGCCACCAGTAAAAGTCCTCTTCATTGAGGCTGAAAGAACCATAACACAGTCGTCTGAATAATTGGTTGGCAATTACAATTCTGTAAGGACTGATTGATCCTTGCTGGTACGCTCATAATTACAAAAATAACCTTCGAAAGTCAAAAAGCCAACATATATTTTTGGCACGCCCAGTGGGACCATTTAAAATGGCTAGACGTAGGAGACAAGGAGAAAATGAACGTTTGGAAGAAGGCGTGGAAGGAGAAGTGGAGATACCTAATCCAGAGGATAATGTGATAACACATCCTGTGGAGACTCCTATCTTATCGGAACCCATGGTCGAACAGACCAGTACTTCAGAGCAAATGCCATTTGTTCGTAATAGTGGACGGGACCAAGGAATTGGACCATCCAATGTCCCATCTATTCAGCCAGTTAATCCGTGGGGTGGTTTAGTAGATGCCATGGGACAGCAATTAATAAACACAATGGAAAGGTGGGCAGTATCCTTTTTGGATAGAATGAATAACCACCAACCAATAAATGTAAGACACATGGGGAAGTAAATGTCCCTCAGCAAAGATTGGCCAGAGATAAACAGCCTATGCAAGTTAATGGACATTCTAATGGTCAAACCAGTAATCAGATTCATGAAAGATTACCACCTCAGTCTTGGTACGAACCCATTTCGAGGCCTATAGCAGGCCAGAATGCCTCAATGTTCAACAGTGAAGCCATGCAAATTGGCGGATCTGGCCCAATACAAGAAAATGGCATAAGAATGGTTCCAAACCCCACATTCGAAGCCATACCTGGCACTAGGGGGTACAATAATCCCTTATTCGAATTTATACACGGGGGGTTGGAAGGTTTTCCTACAAATGGAAGGGATACAATACCTGTTCCAGCACCTTTCGTGGGTCCCTTCGCAGGACAGGCTCAAAGAGGTTACCTACACCCCCAACAGCAACCTGTACCACAGGGACAGCCAGTCCCAAATGTACCACCCTATGGACCAAGAGGACCACAAGCACAAGTTTGTCCACCAAATCCTGTGTTTGTTCCCCCAGTAAGGATGCAAGGGCCAACCAAACCAAACCTTGACAGAGGTATGACATGGCAAAACATCACCAAAAACATGCTGAAATGGAGTCAACATAAGCTAGAAAGACATGCTACTTCATGAAGCATACAAGACTATAGAAAACCATGCCCAGAATGGGTCGATAGGGTACATGAATATCCAAGAGGTTTTAGGATACCAGATTTTGTCCTTTTTCAAGGGAACGGAAACCAGTCAACAGTAGAGCATATTGCTAGGTTTGCTGCTCAATGTGGTGAATTTACCAATCATGACTATATGAAGTTGAGACTATTCCCAAATTCTCTAACTGGGGGAGCATTTGTATGGTACATTAACCTTCCACCTGGCTCCATCCAGACTTGGCAGCAAATAGAAGATGCATTTCATGCCCAATTCTTCCAATCAGAACCAGAAGTTTCCATGGCAGACTTGGTAAGATTGAGTCAAAGGCCTGAAGAGAAGGCTACTCAGTTTATTTCCATATTCAAGAGGGCTCGAAATAAATGTAGAGTAATCTTGCCAGAACCAGAATTTGTAAAATTGGCCCAAAATGGCTTAGAGTTCAGGATTCGAAAGAAGTTTGATTCAACAGAGTTCAGGGATTTAGTGGAACTGACTTACAAAGTATCTAGATATGAAGCATTACTAGAAGAAGAACAAGATCGAAATAATGCATCATATAGGACATACTACAAAGATCCTAATTATGAGATTGATGCAGCAGAGATTGTGGGAAAAGAACCTATGATCTGTGAAGCATTAATTCATAAAGATACGACAATTGACCAGCAGTTTAAAAAGAAAGATCTCCACAGGAAGTATTCTTTCGATTTAACTAAGGCAGATGATATTTTTGATCATTTGCTTGCGGCCAACTTCCTTAAGTTACCAAAAGGGGTTAAAATTCCATCTCTTGATGAACTTAAAGGAAAAGTATATTGTAAATGGAATAATTCTTGGTCTTACTCGACTAAAAACTGTGTTGTTTTTCGAAACAGGATCCAAGAACAAATTCGAAAAGGGAGTTTGAAATTTCCAGCCAAAGCTGAAAAAGCCATAGGGATCGATAGCAATCCATTTCCAGAAATTGGAGAGGTGGCAGCCAATGTCATTATGTCAGACTTTCAGAACCTGTCTTTGAAAGAATTGGAAGAAGTCAATGTACAGATGCATGTGGCCAACCAGACAACAATAAAAAAAGACACTAGAAATCTACCAGCTATTGGATGAGATTTCTCACGTCAGAGGGAAGACTCTGATGAAGAAGCACTGGATGATGACTCCTTAGAGGCAGCCGTAATGCAAAGGATGTGTCCCAGGTGCAGACTGAGTTATAAGTGGTTGAAAGGCCTTCTAGTTGATGGGAAGTAATATTACAGGGATGTGCAGAGGCGTTCCAAACCAACCAATGCTTATAATAAAAGGCCGTATCCGGCTAATGTTAGGCGGCAACCATTGGTAGTTGAGCCTGCAGTTGATAGAATGCATGCTAAAGGCAAGGGGCCCTTATATGAGACCAGGTCACCTAACTATTATAGAATGGAGAGTAGTCATTCTGAAAGAAGATTGGAGAAGAGTTCAGATTTTAGGATCAAAGCCAGAAATTGGCCCCCTGGACTAGCTTCACGAAGGACAGAAAATGATCACCATCATCGAAAGCCTGAATCAGGTTCAAAGCTTGGAGATAGGGCCAAACAATTGTCTTCACAGCCAGCCTCGAAGGTGACCTCAAAGGAAGAAAAGGGCAGTTCAACGTCTGGTAAGTTCGTGGGTACCTGGGGTCCCAGATTGGTTTGTGATGCAAAACAAACCCAGGGAAATGCCTACCCAAAGGAATGTTGGAAATCAAGGTAGGATGGTTAAGCCTCCTTTGGTAGCCCCCAACAACTGGGTATTGCTGAAACACCCAAGAACGAAGGAACCAGATATGGTTCCCGTTATTTCCAGATCATAAAGGAGGAAAATTCAGCGTAGGTACACCCAATACCAGCAAGACCCGAAAGAAAGTGGAGAGAGTTCTTCATTGATCCAAACTGGAGAAAAGAAGAATCGAAAGTCAGACCATACTCCAAAGCCAGTTCTACAAAACGAGGTGGGTTGCAGCAGAGAACAGTTGGCCAAGGTTCATTTTGAACTAAAAGTCAGAGAGAAGGATAGCCTAGCAGGGTTGGAGAAAGCTTTGATGGAGAGTGGTAGTGAGACAGAAGAAGAAATTGGCATGATCCAAAAGAAAGAAATGGTGGAAGAAGAAATGTTCGAAGCTTTCATGGCCAAGCAAACATTTTTGGTTGGAAAACCAGCTGAGGAAAATCATTCGAAGGAACCTGTTAACAATGAAATACCAGAATGCAGCATGCAGGATGTTTCTGAGGTAATTGACCAAGGTGGCCAAGAGGGGAAACAGGTACAGCCAGCCATCCAGTTTGGCTCGTTTTCCCCAGTATCAGTAAACATGGTACACATACTACCGCAAGAATTCCAAGCTAGAGATGAGAATCAAGAGGGGCAAGAAGTTGATCCAATTCCAATCTCTAGTGAAGATTCACAAGCGAGTATGATACAAGATAATTTCGGAATGGTTACCCCAATGGAAGCTGAGTACGAGAGTGAAGAAGTGATAAGTATTAACCTCTCATATCCATTTGAGTATCCCTTGAATTCTATGACACAGCACGTTAAGCCTTTGTACATTAAGGCCTTCTTCGATGGGATACAGTTAAACCGAGTCTTAGTGGATAATGGGGCAGTGGTGAACATACTACCGAAATCCTCCTTGAAAAAATTAGGGAAAAAGAATCCCAGGTTGATCCCAACCAGTACAACCACTGCTGGTTTTGCTAGAGACAAACAGATGGCCCAGGGAATTCTACCCATTAACCTGAGTGTGGGAACCAAGGACTGCATGACGGCGTTTTTCGTCATCGACAGCAATGCGAAGTACAATGCTTTACTTGGTAGAGATTGGATCCACACTAATAAATGTGTGCCTTCCTCTTTGCACCAGAAAATGATAATGGCTCTAGGCAATGGGGAGACGGAGGAAATTAATGCAGATCCTCAACCTTTCATAGCCTGTGCAGATTTCGCAGAAGCCAAGTTGTATATTGATGGCGTGGCACCGCTCAGTATACTGATGGAATTCGATGGCTCAGCCGAAGTACCCTTGTGCGCAACTTCCTTCGCTCAAGCGGGGCTCAAAAACAAAGGTGGTCACTCGAGCATAGCTTTCGTCGCTTGAGCGGTCTGCAAACTTGGCAAAAGTACTGGTTGCATGCAATTCTCACTCGACGGTCCCTCGAGCGGAAGACTAAGTAAAAAGGGTCCTTGCTCGAGTGCCACATTGGTCGTTTGAGCGATCTGTAAAATTTTGTAAAACTTCTGGGAGCTCGATTTTTATGCTCAAGCGACATTTTCTTCGCTCGAGCAGACATGACGAATTCTAGAATTTCCAGAACTATGTTTGAAGTTCAAACTTGATATTCAAAAGTCCAAAACTTGTGTTTTTAGTACAAAAACTTGGAAAAACATTGTATAACATGGAAACACTTCCAATTTGAAACCATTTATTCAAAATCATGCTCCAATTGTCCAAATTCAAGCTTATACTATCAAGTTAAAACGATGCATGTTATGGATTGAGGCCTCTTCATCTTAAAACACCACGAAGTAATATAAAATGTATGAATCCGTGGATGATTGTCACGACCCAAACCCGGCCCTATGGGTTTAGCACCGTGTCAATGTCTAAGTCATCCCAATACGCAGAATCTTTATTCTTGAAATCACCGAATTCTTCAATGAAGTTCTCTGCTTCGTACTGAGCATGAATTCGAAGAGACGAAAGTTGGTCTAAAGATTGTGTAGTGGCCATAGAATTTCGATGTCAGTGGAGGAGCAATGGAAGTTGGTCCAGGAACATATGAAGTTCTGCTTGGGCAAGGGGATTAAGGACATGGCCCCTAGTCAAAATATCACAAGCCCATCGAATGTTCTTGAGAGGGACTTCGTCCTCAAGAACATTGAAGGGCAAGTGAGAGAAAGCTGCAAGCAGAAGTTGAGCTTGTTTCCGTTCAGTTGGAGTAGGAGAAGGTAGAGGTTTATAAGGTGGGAATACGTTTTCCATGGATAGGGCAAGCTTCAGTCTCTCTGTCCAGCAAAGAGTTGGTGGGGAAGAAGGTATGAATACTTCAATTTCGGGAGACGAAGAAGAAGGTGCGGACGCTTCTATTTTCGGAGATGACACGGGAGCAGAAGGAACAAAGGCATTAATATAATCAAGCCAGTCAGA